TTAACCCGAGGTAATATTTCTGGGTTAGCGGAGTCTGTAACCTGAAGTGTATGTAACCTGAAGCGTATGTAACCCAAGGTACCACTGTATACCAGTTTGAACTTCAGCCTGTGGCATCAAAATGTTGAATTCTGTGCTAATAACGAAATTCACTGTAAGTAGAAAACTAAGCACAGTGGGGAGCAGCTAGGGCTGGAACTTTTTTCTTGATGTGCTAGGGTGTTTTCTTTTTGGGTACTTTTAAGGAGCCTTTATGGGACGCGGGTGGCGCTGTGGGTAAAAGCCTCAGCGCCTAGGGCTTGCCAATTGAAAGGTCGGCGGTTCAAATCCCTGCGGTGGGGTGCGCTCCCGTTGCTCGGTCCCAGCGCCTGCCAACCTAGCAGTTCAAAAGCACCCCCGGGTGCAAGTAGATAAATAGGGACCGCTTACCAGCGGGAAGGTAAACGGCGTTCCGTGTGCTGCGCTGGCTCGCCAGATGCAGCTTGTCACGCTGGCCACGTGACCTGGAAGTGTCTCCGGACAGCGCTGGCTCCCGGCCTCTAGAGTGAGATGGGCGCACAACCCTAGAGTCTGGCATGACTGGCCCGTACGGGCAGGGGTACCTTTACCTTTTTAAGGAGCATTTGATGTGGTGGAGCATTCAAAAACTTTCAGTATATTTTTGAGTCACTGCTTTAAAAATTGTATACTGCCTTGAGTTTTCTTTTTAAATAGCAGCAAAAAGCAGTTAGATATAATTTTTTTCTTAATGATTTATCTAAGCTACAGAGTCAACCAGTGCACAGGGAGTTCTATGCTGATTTTAAAGTCCTTTGTAAACCTGGCATTTCCCAGGATATAATTTCCCTTTTGCTCTCTCGATCTTTTACTACACTCTTGACACTCTGTTCCTTCCTGCTTCCTTAGTCCTTGAATGAATCCCCCTCATTGTGTTCTTTTTCTGATTACCTTATTATATAGTATAGTCCTAACATTTATAGTATAATCCTAACTTGAAGTTCTGCTGGCTGGAAGGGGCCTCTGAGAAATCCTGAACCCTCGCTTCCTGTGTTGACGCCTGCCAGGTTTTGGAAGTGGCATAATTTATTCCCCCTTCCGTAGGATTACTCTGACTTTCAATCAATTGAAGCAAACATTTAGCTTCTAGATTCTTCTGATTTTCTTTGTGTTGAGAGTAGTTAAAACATGCTTGAATGTCTTCAGAAAGTTTTATCAATTTCTGCCATTGTGCTTTTTTTCTGCTACATTGTTTGTGTTCAGTGTGTGCTGCTGTATAGGGGCTCAATCTGCTCTGTAATAATTCCCTTGGATGATATTGCAATATATCCCATCAACAATATGTTTTTGTAGACTTGAACGTTTCAGCAATACAGTTCATCATCTGTCTTGCATGCTTTACATGAGATTTCTGCATTGCAGGGGATTGCACTAGACTAGATGGCCCTCTATGATTCTGTGATGGTTGTGAAACTTTGTGGTATGGGTTTTTCCATTGGCTTGGAAACAAAGAACTATGAATGAAAGGAAGGCATGTGATGGCATACTTCCATACTTGTGGAAGACTTGTTTTAATGCAGCACCATACTTTATTGGCAGTGATTCAGGCTGTGACATATAAATTATAGTGGGCATATGTAAAGGTCTTATCTGTCCAGTGTTTTGAGCAACAGCTTGAACAAACGAAACTTCTCCGAACTTTCCATAGAATCCTTTCCTATGGATTTGATAGCTCACCCCTTGCAGATAAACCAGTGGTTAGCCGGTTGGGAGAGGGCTGTGTTTTTGGGCCTCATCCCTCTTCCTGTGTGCACACTTTTCTTTCCCTTCCTGATTAGAACTTGCATAGGATTGAGCATGCTTAGTGCTGATGGGGGATGTGAGACTGCTTCATGGTTACACTGAGTGGCGGAAGGGAGAGGAAATTCACATAGGAGATGGTGGGAGTGGGCGAGTGCATGATTCTGCAGCATTCTTCTGTTCTGGTCACGCTTAGTAGATCAGGAATGTTACTTATGTACTGAACGTATGAATGGACTGTAGGATTTTCCATTCCTTGCTCACTTGGCCCTCACCCAAGCCAGGCTTGACTTGTTATTTGCCGGTAAGATCATCCTCGTCTAAGACAGTGTTTCCCAACTGGTGTTCCGCGGCACACTAGTGTGCCGCGAGACCTTGCCTGGTGTGCCGTGGGAGGGAGGCGGGCGAGTCGGGCGGCGAGGATCCGCCTCGAGCCGGGGGCGGCTCCGCGGTGGCGGTGCCGAGGTTTCTCTCTCCATTCTCCCCTCACACACACACACAGGAAATAACACAGGATCAGCTGACAGGACCCGGCCAATGGGGCGGCGGCGGGGCAGCGCGCGCAAAAGGGAGGAGCGCGAGACAGCGGACGAGGAGGAGGCCGGCATGTCCGGGCAGCAGCAGCAACAACAGCAGCAGCAACTCCCGGCGACGGCTCCTCAAGCCCCGGGCAACCCTACTCCCTCACCGGCCTCGGCCGCCCTCCTGCTCCACCCGCCGCCGCCTCCCCCGCCGCCGCCGGCCACCTCGGCCCCGCCGCCGCCCCCTCCTCCGCCTGCTATCGCCACCACCACCACAACAGTCGCCGCCGCCTCAGCTGGGCCTATGCCTGCTGGGAGCGGCGGCGGCAGCAGCAGCAGCAGCGCCCCGGCGCCCTTCCCTCACGGCGGCGACCCGGCCCTCCTGGTTCGGGAGGCGGGCGCGAAAGCCCCACCCCTCAGCGCTCGCCAGCTCCGCGCGCGTCCTTGCCTGGGTGAAGGTGCTTCTTGGACGGGAGGCTGCGGCGACCAAAGACCCCGGCGGCTGGCAGGAGGAAGCGGAGGAGGAGCGGGAGGCTGACCCCGAACTCGTGGGAGGAGGCGAGAGAGAGAAGGCGCTTGGGCAGCCACCCCAAGCCGGCGCACGCGGGCGCCCCTTTGGAGCTGCCCACCTGAGCGCACGGGACAGGAGCGGCGATTTGATTCGCGCCAGGCCACGCTTGCTGCGGAGGGAGGAGGAGAGCGGCGCCTTCCAGCCTCATCTCGCTTCGTGACAGCGCCGACCGAGCCTGAGAGGGAGCAGATCCGAGGGGGATCTCCCCCACCCAGCCACCCCCTCGCCGCCCGCCCTGCTCCTGTCGTGGCAGCTGACGAGCCGACTCGCCCTGACCTGCGGGGTCCCCCACGCCGCCTCCGCTCACGGCGGCGACCCGGCCCTGAACGAGCAGGAGAAGGAGCTCAAGCGGCGCCTCAAGCGGCTCTACCCGGCCGTGGACGAGCAGGAGGAGGAGTTGGAGGAGTCCCTCAGTCCCTCGCTTTGCTGCCTCCTCCCCCCCCACCCCAAAGCTTGGAGGTTCCCCGGCAAGGGGGAGGGGAAAAAATTGAAACTTACACTTTCGTGCGTCCCTCCCGGCGTGACGCTGCGCACTGACGTCACGGGGCTGTAATGGTGGTGTGCCTCAAGATTTTTTTCATCAATCAAGTGTGCCTTTGCCCAAAAAAGGTTGGGAAACACTGGTCTAAGATATTACATAAAGATTTATAGACAGCTGGAGTAAACATTTTTTTTTAAAAAATGCAAGCATGTATCTAATAGATTATGGGGAAATATTTCAAATGTAATAAGAGGTTATTAAAAATCTCTTCCTGGGGAGCTGCATGGGTTTGTGTTTGGAAACAGATTAAATATTGGAATATATATATTAATATGTTTGGAAACAGATTATATATACTGTTCCTTGGGGGTGGGGTGGCTGTTGTTTTTCTTCTTCATTCATGTTACTGTGGTAATTATTAATTCCAATAAATTATCGATGACTACTGCAAAACAAAACATTACCAGCAATATTTAAAAGCACAGTTGGAGAGGTAGAGAGCTGAGGCAACAAAATCATCCGTGAAGAATCTTTAGTTAAGATTTGTATGAAACAGTTGCAGAATCCTCTTGGGGTCTTTAAAAACTCTTCTTTCAGTGCACAAAGCTCTTATCCATTGGTAATTACAGTTGCCAAGTGTTCTGAGTCCGTTTGGCTGTGCTGGCTTCTGCTGTTTAGTCAGAACTCCCCCCCTCCTTAGGAAAGACATTTCCTTGTTTATTGGAGAAAGTTGTGATCCACAAAAGTAACAACTAAAAAAAAAAGTATGTGTGCTGCACACCCTGTGCTTGTATTAAGCCCCTTTGGTTATTACCAGAGTATCATTATCTGCCGTGCTTTGCAATTCCATTCAAAGTGCTGTGTGCTGATTTGTCATTCTCCCCAAGACTGATCAAACGTCACCGTCTTGATGACAGAGAAAGGGTGTGCAAGTAACCCTGCCAAGAGCTGTTCATGCTCGAATGAGAAGTGGTGTGTGGAGAGATGATGTAGGAGGGGACAAGTATGCGCTAAATCCTTTTACAAGTGGTCGATTCCAGAGCAACTTTTGAGGAGGCAGGGTTATGGGGCTTTACTGAGAGATTATTTTAAAGCAGTCTTGAGCTAACTAGTTATGAAGAAAGACACACATCTCCTGTAATTAGAAAGACATAAGGGGACTCTTTAACAGATGCAAGTTTATGTTTCAATCCAGATTGGACACTTGACCCAATGTTCTCTTGGAAATTTCACCTCCTTAGGCCTAAACCTGTTTCGGTGCATGAGAAATTACCAGTTAAGTTTACAGTTCATCTGGGCTGCCAAGAATCTCAGAGTCATGTGGCCGAAAAACCTAATTTGTGGTTCTTCTTGTTTGCTATCTGGTTTTTGCCATAATGCCTGCAGGCTTTATCTCTATATCCACAAATGCTACTGGTGTAATTTTCCATTAAGCTGGTATTCTAGGAAGAGCCAGCAAGCAACATCTATGCATGTGCCACATCTGAAAAGAAGATACCACCTGGAGCACATATTATGGAAAGTGAATACTAGAAAAGCCTTGGCATATTTAATCCAAATGCTGTATTTTGAGAAAAGCTTAATGTTGCATGTGTGTTAAAGCCCTATTATTTTTCCTCCTTACCTTTAGGCACGCATATCATTCTACTTCAACACCTCCAGTATTTCCTCCCAAAAACCCTACTGATTTGAAACTGCACAAAGGAACTGTGTCTCTGCAGAGTTCAGATGCTGTCATCATCCATCCTGGAGCTATGCTTTCCATGTTGGACCTCTTAGTCTCTGTTGGGTCAAATACACAGCCAGAAGTGAGAACCTTTTCAAATATACTGCTTACCCTATAGGGTTAAGTTAAGAAAGCTTATAAAGGAATACATTGGGGGAGTTTAAGATCTGTTTTAACCTAATTCATTGCTTTATCTTAAAATTAACTCTTGAGCTTTACTAGGAAGCAGTGAATTTGAATCTTAGACACTGTACAGTTATTGGCTTGAATCAAAAAGAACAGCACAACCAACTAGTTCCATCTGAACAAAGAAGCTCTGGATTTTTCATCTTCTAGAACAGTAGCTCCCTGTGCTACATAGCAGACAAAGCACTTTTGAAATGGGAAGCTAGGGTGTTTCCAAAGTTTATGACATGACATGAGGACCTGCTGGGCACTTTGAAATATTTGAGAGTTCCTAAAGAAGCTAATTGGATTCCAGCCGTTACCTACAAAATACATGCCAACTTGAGAACTCTGCCTTATGAGATTTAAAGGTGCTCATCATTTGTTAGTCCCTGATAGCTATATTTCAAAAAGCCAAAATCAGTAGTAGCAGAAACCTGACTTTTCTAACAAAATTGTTTGTTTGTTTGTTTGTTTGTTTGTTTTAAAAATATAACAAGCATCTACACTAAGCGTAGGTGAGTAAAGTATAGGACAGAATGCTTTTGTCAGCTGATAGTATGAAAATATGCGAGTTGGACATTATTTCTATTTATAAAACACCACCATAGTTCTTGTTCTTGGCGAATTTGATCAGTAAAATGTCAAATAAAAACGATCTGGGTTTAGCAACCAGAATCCCAAAGGCTATTTTAAGTGCTCTTAAGAGTTTGTGGTTGTCCTGAGGTTGTTTTTTTGTTTAACCTTTTCTTTCTTTGAGCAGCAGACCACTGTGCAATATCCTAAATTTCTCTCTCTCTCTCTCTCTCTCTCTCTCTCTCTCTCTCTCTCTCACACACACACACACACACACACACACACTTGCTGGAAATGGCAAGTGGCACAGTTTTCGTGAGTGTTTTCTTACAGATTTGTTTTGTCTTTGTCTCATTTATGCTTGTGCAAAATTTGCAGCATGCCCTAGATCTTCAGCTAGCAGTGGCCAACATCTTGCAGTCTCTAGTGCACACCGAAAGAAATCAGCAAGTCATGTGTGAAGCTGGACTCCATGCACGACTTCTGCAGAGATGCAGCGCGGCTCTTGCTGATGAGGACCACTCTTTGCACCCCCCACTCCAGAGGATGTTTGAAAGGTTGGCCTCTCAGGCGTTGGAACCAATGGTGCTGAGGTAAGTAGAAGAGGGGGTTTATTTCAAATTCATATAATTTGATTTGATTATTTGATTTCTAGACTGCTTAATATTTTAAAAAATCTCTAAGAAAACTGAAGCAACAACAGGCAACTTAAACAAGAAATTGCAAAAACACACAGCTACGTATAAAAATGTTACATTAATACAAAGTTGCTAATAGAGACGAATCAATATCCATTCATTTTCCTTTGACACACACCCCACTCAGCCTCCAGGTTCTTGCCTAGAGTCCAAACAAGCTCTCAGCTCACCCACAAAAGTCTCACAATTAGAGCAGTTCCTGGAAACAGCAGACAGCAGGTATTTTGAGTTTCCCAGGGGGTCCGGAGGATGGGGACCCCTCACAGCTCTTTCTCCACCCTCTGTCCTTTCCTCCTCCTCCTCCTGCTGCTGCTGGTTGATCATGGACATTAATGTATTTTATTGAACTGACACATGGAGGTTGGGCTTAGGATTATTTAAAGAGAGAGAAGAATGAATCTGGTATTAAACTTCCTGTTTAAGTACGTTCTCTGTTGCTGTTTATCATAGCTCCGAGACAGTGAGAGAGTTCTTTTGCACGGTGCGAAACATATTTAAATAGGTCAGCATTCGAAACTGCTTCACACATGACATGGGAACAATCTCCACATTTTTTAAAAAAGTATTATACACTGTCACTTTCACAAACACTTGTTTTGCTTTAAGCACCTTGATAATGAAGTTGGTGATTTGTGAACAGGAGAAGCTTCACGAACTGAAGCAGCTGTCGTGCTTTACTGTTCTATCCTTTAGGGTGAGGGAGAGCGGGGGAAGCTAAAAGAAGCACTACAAAGTTGAACTATGATGCACTGAAAACTATTTTAATATTTTAAACGAGGCCCTGTAAAATGCATATATGGGAATATGTTCATAAATGTTAGGTAAACTGAGCTGTGGTGTGTATGCAGTCTTAGTTTGTCTAAATTGATAGCATTTGAAATCAAGCACTTGAGGGCGATGTGTCTGTATCTTCATCTGTTTCTGCACCTGTACCTACTTCCTAATACGAAAAAACCCACATAATTATGCCAAGATGATTTTGGCTCCTCTGAGACATAATGCCTAAGACCACATGGACATTGGTGAAGTAGGTGTGGATTTCTACAGTTCTGTTTTATATTTAAATAAATTTTAGGGTTCTTTTGGCCTGTATTTTGCTTTGTTTACTTTCTAAATAGTTTTTGATGAAGCACACTTTAATGTATGTACATGTTCGAGTGGCAGCTGTTGCACTTAATCAAATAAAAAGGAATGCAAATGACTTTGAAGCCTTTCTTATTTTCCCACTCCATTTTTCTCTAGGGAATTTTTACGTTTGGGAAATCCTCTGAATTGTGGAGCCTGGGATAAGAAGCTGTTGAAACGATACAGAGTGCATAAACCAAGCTCACTCAGTTATGAGCCAGAGTTGAGAAGTAAGTGTTTTTATGTTTGAAATAGTTTTGAGGCACTCATTAGTAACCGCCAGACTGAAATCTGGCCATGCTTCAACAATGTTTCAGAGAGCTAACAAGTGAGATTTAATTAATGCTTGTAGGTAATGACAAGGAGTGAGGATTTCCCTTATAGAGCCTAACGATGGTTAGCAGTTGGCAGCAATTCTGACCCTAGATGTAGCCAGCTAGGACACTGGATCTGAAACAAGTGTACAGCCCTGCTTTTAAGGCAGCTTTTTCTTTCCTGATTAAAGATCTGGTGCTGCATGCACAGGTGCGTGGCGGTTTCGAAACTTGGCTTTTCTCGTAAGGAAAAAGCTTTTCACCCATGGATATAAAGTTGTAAATTTGAGCAAACGTCTCTTCCCTGCCAGTTAGATGAATCAATCACTACCGTATTTTTCGCTCTATAGGACGCACTTTTTCCCCTCCAAAAATTAAGGGGAAATGTGTATGTGTCCTATGGAGCGAATGCAGGCTCCCTGGCTTCAGCAATAGCAACGCGAAGCCTCCGAAGCTTTCGCTTTCGCTGAAGCCAGGAGAGTCTGGTCTTTGAGGCTGGTGGTGGGGGAAAGCAGCGCTTCCCCCCACCGCCAGCCCCACAGGTTCAGGGGGCAGCGGGAAGGTGCGCGACACTGGAGGGAGTCAGTACTGGCCGAGTCAGTCCCTTCTCCCTCCTGTGGGCTTTTGCGGGAGATGGGGGAATTCCCCCACCTCCCACAATAGCAGGGAGAAAGTCTGGGAGAAGCGCACAGGCTGCGTGCAGCCTGTCCGCTGCTCTCAGAGCGGGGGGGGGGGGATCATATTTTTTTCCCTTGATTTCCCCCTCTGAAAACTAGGTGCGCCCTATGGTCAGGTGCGCCCTATAGAGCGAAAAATACGGTATTTTGTGGATGTACGCAAAGCTCAGGCTGTGTGAGGCAACTGCCTTACTGTTACAGAATGATGGACTCATTGCTAGATACACTGGTTCTTAAGGAGAGGAGAGCAGAACTCAAGACTGCTTCACTATGTTGAGCTCATTAGGACTTGGTTGATTTAATTTTAAATACTTCCATTTATGTAGGCTACGTTGTAGTTAATTAACCTGTGTTTAGAAAACCTTTCATTTGTGTAGATAAAACTTCTGTTACAGAAGTTTCACAAGCAGTTAATTTTGACGCACATTGTTTGCAACCGCCTGGAGTCCATTGGTGGCTGCACCATGTAAACTGGTAGTCGTGTGAATCAACAGTGGGTTGAATAGCAAACATATTTTGGGACTTTGTAGTAAAAGACAAAATGTACTTTTGTCCCTTTTATTGTATTTGGGTTCTCTTACTGACAATACTAATCTCATGTGGATCTTCTATTTTTAAAAATTTTTAAAAAGTATTTCGTTTTTTAACTTCTGCTATAGATAGCATGATTACATCAATGGAGGGCCTGGGTACCGACTGTGTGTTCAGTTTACATGAAGATAACCACTACAGGATAAGCAAGAGCCTTTTAAAACCAGCAGAAGGAAGCACAGTACCCCTGACGAGGGTGAAATGTTTGGTTTCCATGACAACCCCACATGATATTAGACTTCATGGCTCAGCAGTTACTCCGGCATTTATTGAATTTGACACGTCTCTTGAAGGGTTTGGGTAAGGTCTTGTAAAGGCTCTTTTCTTACTCTCTTCTTGTTTCAGAATAATATTTGCAGTTCCTAATTAACTTCTTTGATTTTCAAAACCATTAGTTGTGCCATGGAAGACTGCCTCTGATATAATAGTGCACCTAATTCAGATGATGAGTTCTTTGAGTATAGATGATCCCACCAAGCAAATGTGGGTTACGTAGGTTAGATGTTTTGTGTGTATTTAAAAAACCCTTTCTTAGCAAAGAAGTGGCACCAAAATCCAGTTCTCCCCCCCAAAAATCCCTTCGTTCCCTAGAAAATTTTTGTCAGAGGAAGTAGAATGTAATCAGGCTTGGAGAAATATAATTAATAATTAAAGTAGCAGCTTTGGAAAGGCAGTTCAGTGATCATGGAATAATCTCATCATATTTGATTATTGTAGATTAAATATACACCTTAGCTTTCTTGAGCAACTTGGCTGTTTTACTCAGTTTTTTATTCTTCTAATCTGTAAAGAGGCTTAATCTGCAAAGTTGATATCTTAAAAGTATGCATTAATATTAAATTCTGTAATTCACTTATTGAAGTATTTATACAAGGAATTATCTTCATAAAATGAATTCTCGTTCATGCTCTTGAGAAAAGGAGCCATGCTCCTAATGCTGGCTTGATCATTAAGGGATCAAGAGCATGTTGCGCAATCTGTATTTTCCTTCTTTTACACACCCCTTTGCTTAAAAGAGAGGGACGCGGGTGGCGCTGTGGGTTAAACCACAGAGCCTAGGACTTGCCGATCAGAAGGTTGGCGGTTCAAATCCCCGTGACGGGGTGAGCTCCCGTTGCTCGGTCCCTGATCCTGCCAACCTAGCAGTTCGAAAGCATGTCAAAGTGCAAGTAGATAAATAGGTACCGCTCCGGCGGGAAGGTAAATGGCGTTTCTGTGCGCTGCTCTGGTTCGCCAGAAGCGGCTTAGTCATGCTGGCCACATGACCCAGAAGCTGTACGCCGGCTCCCTTGGCCAATAAAGCGAGATGAGCCCCGCAACCCCAGAGTCAACCACGACTGGACCTAATGGTCAGGGGTTCCTTTACCTTGCTTAAAAGACTCTCTCTGTTCCCTGCCATGGACTAAGTGATAACACCTGATGGATATTGACTGGAAGTACTGTTCCTAACTCATTGATCTTTATTTAACAGCTGTCTGTTCTTACCAAGTTTGGCCCCTCATAATGCACCTACCAACAATGTGGTCACAACTGGGCTTATTGATGGCACTGTGGTCAGTGGAATTGGAACCGGTAAGTCCCTTTGCCATAGCCATATGGGATGGATTTGGTGCGTCTGTCATCTTCTGAAATCAGCCCTATAACTACTCTTGACTCAGTAATTTATGTAAATAAATCCTCTTGAATGCACTAGGAATCCACGAGATTGTGACAGGGAAAAAAGCTATGTTTATTGTAATGGAGCTCCATCAGACTACTGCAAAATGTTTCCTGCAGCCAAAATTGTGGAGGACTTTTTGATATGATGAAAAGTAATGCTAAGCATAGGCACAGAAAAAAAATAACCCAGTGGCAGAAGAGCCACTTAGTTCTTACGTGGAGCTGGTTGACAGGGGCGATTAACCTTTTACATCCCATGGCTGCTTTGGTGATCAGCAGTGGACATGGCTATTATATGCACACACTCCCTTGCCACACTGGTAGCACACATACTCACTACACCTGTACATAGAGCTCTGTCTACCAAGGCAGGATGAACGCTCTTGCAAAACGACTCCCATCCTAATTCATCCCCCCACCCCTTTGTGGGTGGAGGGAGACACTGCCTTTTTACATTTTGCAGAAGGTTCTGTGAAGAGTAAAATACAGGACTTCCAGCCCCCTCAACCCTGTCACTGAGCCAGCAGAGGAATTTTCTTTCCTGATCATAGCACAGAGCATCACCAATGCCAAGATAGAGAAACAAGGCTGTGGGGGCTGGTTTGGTATTAATTAATTAATTAATTCTACCCTGCCCATCTGGCTGAGTTTCCCCAGCCACTCTGGGCAGCTCCCATGTGGCATGCTGGCTGCATCCAGCTCAACCTGTGGGTTAGCTGCCTTTGCATTAAGCCATTATTAAAAATAAGCCAACGCAAATGAGCAGCATGCTCAACTCTACCTGTTATTCCCCTGCTTTCCCCCCAACTAGGTAGAAAGAATCCAGAGTTGTGCATTTATCTAATTATTAGAGCTGAGCTGAACTGGGGTCACGAGCTGCATGAACATTTCCTTGCTCCTCACAAAGCAGCCCCCCTTGTGGAAGATTGGTGGGGGAGACTTGAAACAGCATGTAGAAGGAGGGAAAGCATCCTTGCTGTAACTAGGATGATACTCCCTGTTTTGCCACACCATAACAAAGGAAGTGCAAAAGCAGATCACGGCAAGACGTGGTGTTAGCTAGATGCAGATCTGAATACCACGGCAAGGGAAGTGAAAGGGAGTACATTTCTCAGTTTCCAAGGCAACCGGGCAACTGTATTCTTTGAATTTCTGTAGGGAATATGTCTTCATATTGCCAAAACAATAAAGCAACTTGTCCTGCCCCGACATATTGTGCTAGGGGAACAGGCCATGTAGGAGACATGCTCATGCCCCTCCCTAGCAGGGGATAATGCCACTTCATTTGTCTTGGCATTGCTTCATAACCAAATCTGATTGGCTACATAGCATGAAACCATCTCACTCACAGTCTGATCCCTGGTTGGCTGTGATCTGAGACGGTGAGAGAGAGCTGGAATATTGTCTTGTGGGGTTGGGGGGGACTTTATGTTGTAAAATCCAAAAACATAAAGAAAACGAAAAAGAAAACAGATTAGCCACCCTGTTCTATAGCATTCTTGGTGTGAGCACGCAGAAAAGGTTTAATAAAATGTGACCTTTTGTTTTAATTGATATATACTACTGTAGAAACAGAAGGGACGTGGGTGGCGCTGTGGTCTAAACCACAGAGCCTAGAGCTTGCCGATCGTAAGGTCGGCAGTTCAAATCCCCACGACAGGGTGAGCTCCCATTGTTCCATCCCAGCTCCTGCCCACCTAGCATTTCGAAAGCACGTCAAAGTGCAAGTAGATAAATAGGTACCGCTCTGGCACATGACCTGGAAGCTGTCTATGGACAAATGCCGGCTCCCTCGGCCTATAGAGCGAGATGAGTGCCACAACCTCTACCACCTTTTCAGAATTCTCACTTCACTCCTACACAAACAGCTACAAATTTGGAGAAACTGTATTCAAAGTTTTTGAAGAACTGTAATGTTTAGGCTTTTTCTACTATGGTTTCATACTTGACCCAATTGGGTTTTGCTCCTCCTAGTGCTTGAAGGCAGGAATGTGGTCATCCCACAGGAAACTTCTGTCTGGCTCCATTGCCTTGGAGGGGCTCCAGTTGCATTCCTGTCTTTCGCTCAAGGTGGTAGCTTTAGAATTATCCCCTGATACAAGACTGTGTTTCAGGGTCAGTTTCATTGTCTGTTCTCCTTGTGTTCATTTGCCTTCACATCTAGCTCCCCCCCCCCCTTCTTCTTACAGGAGAGAGACTTTTCCCACCCCCATCTGGATTGAGCTATTCAAGTTGGTTTTGCATAGAACATTTTAGTACAGCTCCAAATCATCACCCAGTCAGGTTACTTACAGTTGTAAGAAGGGCAAACAGCTCCGAGCAGCACTATATATGCCTTGCCATTGTCCTTTCTGCAAAAGACCGGTCACTGATTGTTTCAACTAAAGAAGAACTACTTCAGAACTATGGTAAGAAGCACACTGTGCAGCATATATTCCTCACCATTCCGTGTTATTGAGACAATAAGGCATAAAGCCCATGCTCCCCCCACCAACCAGAATGGAGTGATGAGCTTGGGCGGTCCTTTCCCTGCTTATGTGCCAGTTTCAGCATTAGATTTCCTGATTTGTTAAACCACATTTTCCCTTGTGACATCTGAACTGGGAAATATTGATTTCAGGGTTTTCTTCAAACCAGGCTTGCAGTTTTTCCTCCCCTCTATCAACAGTTGCTTTAAGAAAAGTTTTAACTGCCGCATTTCTGAATGCAAATAACTTGCCCAAATCATAACATTCTTAATATTAAAAAGGGGGGCGGGGAGCGGATAGGTCTGAATGTACAGTACTAAATCTTAATTTAGTTGGCACTGAATCGAATGCTTTATCGATGCACTAAAAATAAAGATTGTGCTACATAACATTTTTACTCTAGTTATTTGCCACTCTTCACCTTGAGGCTATAGCACTGTGCTGGATGTCTGGCTGCTTTTGATGAAGACTGCAAGTGATGCAGAATACAATGACTGTTCAATTAATGTATATATTTATATGGCAATAGGAGCTGCCATTTAATTTTCTTTTGTCCTCAGTTGATGACTTCAGTGAAGAATCTTCCTGCTATGAAATCCTCCCTTGCTGCACTCGTTTTCGTTGCGGCGACCATATAGTGGAAGGCCAGTGGCATCATATGGTTCTGGTCATGAGCAAAGGCATGCTGAAAAACAGCACCGCTGCACTCTACATTGATGGGCAGCTGATAAATACTGTGAAGGTAAGTTGAATACAATGACATTCTGATTCTGACTTGAGATAATGTATGCGAAGGACTACAAGCACTCTGAAGTGTTACCACCTTTGCATGTTTTTTGTTTGAGGTTTGTTTGAGTGCAACCTGGAGTGGTTGCCTTGAGTTGCTGATGGGGTTGGCTTTGAACTCATGGTTCAGCTGTTAAAGTGAAATGGGTGTTTTCTCATTGTGCATTGTGGGTGCATGTGTGATCATTGTTAATCAGTGATCAGAGATCAAAGCACAGTTTTTGCTGCCAGGATCAGGACCTTCTTTCCAGGTATTCTGTCATCGTGGGGTCCATACTACTGGTTTTTTGAAATCTTCTTTTAAAGGCCTAGAGTTATCTTGCTTCCCTTGGGGAATTTCTTCCAGATGACTAGCCTTGAATAGCTGGTTAGCAGAGGGAGTAGGCTGTCTCTCTCAATCACAAACGCAGTGAACCATCCAACACCACAAACCCAATTCTGTACCTGAGAAAAAAAGCTATTAAGAAAACAGCACAGGAGAAGCATGTGGGAAAATAAATGATTACTTAGCAATATATAGTCCCCTCTGCATTATTTAAATCAGTGATGTCAAAAGTCAGGTTCGATGGATGATGCAGCATCTCTGATCTTTCAGCCGAAAGCTTTCAGCAGTTTGCAGAAGCCTATCATTGTGGCAGCCATCCCAGTCTGTGTGACATTAGCCACAACCAGTTCTGTGTGGCATTCTTTTGCAGAACTAATGTGTCACTCAAGCCCGGAAATGTGCTGCTGAGGTATCTATCATGTTTCCTTAAAATTGACTAGTGGATCCCTCCTCTTTAAAGTGGGCTAGGTATTGTTGTGATTAATTCAGCTGACTGAAACTAATGAGAGGTTTCCCAGCCCTTCTTTCAGCTAGTTAATAGGACAGCATTCTCACACCTTTCCGGCTAAAAGCTTATCAGAACATTTCCATTTGCAGAGTGATTAAGCTTCTATTCTGTATTCGTATCTTCTTCCTATAACAGTTGGCATCATAAATAGATGGCTGGTATATAGATACTTCCAGTAACAATAGTTTACCTTTTTGCATATTTCATTATGTATCTCAAATTTACCTTCTGGTATTCAATGTAACATGGTATTATTGAAAGAAGCATGAAAGTTTCCTTTCTGGTGATATAACTCTTTAATGCCAATCAACAAGCAAAATAGGATGAATCAAGTGAAGTGGCGTTTTGGTTGCTGAAATCAAGCAGAGTGTGCATTTCCAGTGGATTAACCTTTTGCAATTTTAATAATAATAATTAATATAATTTTATTATTTATACCCCATCCATCTGGCTGGGTGTCCATTCTAGGTGCATTTTAGGTTTATCTCTGTTGCGTGTGATTTATGGAACCTTTCCCTTGAGTTTCATGTTTAGCTGCTTCTCAGTTGCCTTCACCTCTCTCTTTTTCTTCCCTGTGGTAGGCGCTTGTGCAAAAAATGACTGAGAAAGCCTCAAGACCAGCCCCAGATGTTGCTTATTTTTCTTTTTTAGTCAGAGAGTGATGGAGGAGGAGGAGGTGGTTGAAAGTTGTTGAGAACTTGATCAATCCTCCTTGTGCATTTTTGGGTTATGGATTCTTGGGCAGGGAGGTACCACGCAAGTACATAGAGCAGCAGCAAATCACCACCACAACCCTATCCAGAGACAAAGAGGAGACCCCCCTCTTTCTGTCCCTCCTTGAGTGAGTGACTGCTTCTGCACCTTTCCTGCCAAAGAACCCTAGTGTGTTCTGAAGTAGGCAATACTTCACTTTGGTCATGTGAGACTTGTTTCATTTGCTACTGCTTCTGTTCCTGCTGGCACTAGCCAGCCATCACCAGGAGAGAAGGATGGAGTCATGTTGGAGAAGATATGAAATGATGACTTTAACTGGAGGCAGGGAAAAGCAGGGAGTGTGAAGGAATTATATGATTTTGGGTTTTGTGTTGGTTGTGTTTTGAAGGAGATCAATTCCAACATTTTAAGTGTTTGGGAAGGACATTGTTTTATGCCTTGGATTACGGGTTAGAGGGGTTATGTGTCTGGTCCTACCTCTGAGTGATTTGTGACAGGGGAGATGATGGATTGATTTATTTGAACCATTTGTTTATATCAGTACATGTACGTGATTTGGAGAATATTCAGATTGGATGGACTTGGAAAAGAATTAATCTTTTTTATTTTATGTTTGAGCATCTGTGTGTATTTTTAAACACAAATATCGCATGTGTTCTTACTGCCAGAGGTGTTCTTAGCTCTCTTGTCAGAAAGGAATTTCCTTGTTTAAAATATTTCATTGAATGGATGGTGCATTCACTAAAGATGCAGTTGTTCTGTGCACTCCTGTGCATGCTTACTCAGATGTTAGCTGTTCAGTGAAGCTTATCTCCGGTAAGTGTGCATAGGATTGCAGCATTAAATGATTAACACGTGTTGCTAAATTTTCAAGGTTGTTTTTCTCATTTTTTGTACCTTTTTTCTGATACTGTAAAAACCTTTAAAAAGCAGCCTTTCTTCCTTGAAAGTATGCCTGGAAAGACAGTTTCATGCTGAAATACTTTATATACATATGCAAATATATGCAAATTTAACCAGATTAAATTCCCTCTGGAGGGAATGTTCAAAATGTTTGCCAACAGCACATGTGGTCCAATCATAGTCAGCTTGTGTAGCTTCTTATTCTGTTACAGACTTCCATTAATGTTTAAATGAATTTATGTACCGTATGCTAAAATAATTGCGTTGTTTTTTCTGATCAGCATTGGTATTTATTTTACAGCTTCATTATATTCACAGTAGTCCTGGTGGTTCAAGTTGTGCTAATCCACCAGTAGTCAGCACAGTTTACACCTATATAGGCTCGCCACCTGCTCAACGCCAGCTCTCATCCCTTGTTTGGCGCCTGGGGCCAACCCATTTCTTAGAAGAGGTCTTGCCTCCATCAAGTGTTAGCACGATTTATGAACTAGGACCAAACTATGTTGGAAGCTTTCAAGCTGTATATATGCCATGTAAGTAAAAGTTATCCTGGTGTGGTGTTTTTTGTTTGTTTGCTTCTCTTTTGCTTTTGGTTGGAGTAGGATTAATTTATTCACATATGCAGAAAGCATGCGTGTGTCTGTGTATATATATATATTGTACTGCATTCCTGTACCCGTGAAAATCTACAAAAGCAAACATCTATATATAATAGTATATATACTATTGTAACTTGGCACCTGCAAAGAAACAAAAGGGGACAAGACCTCAAAGGTGCACAAAATACATTAATTTGGCTCGAGATAGTAAAAGTTTGGAGTTTAGCTAGTAGAACCCCCCCCCCCCGCAATATAGTTTTTTTGAACCACCTTTTCCACAGAATTAATTAACATTGTTCTTTAGCATTTACATATTGCACTTTGCACACTGGCTTACATGCCTTTACAAGAGAGTTAGACAAATTCATGGTGAATAGGCCTCTATAGTAATGATGACTATACATGCCATCCAGTTTCAGGGGCCATTATTGCTTGAGTACCAGTTGCTGCGGAACTGCAGCAAGGAGATGGCTGTTGAATTCCTGCCACTGTTTGTGCCCTTACCAGGTCTGGGTGGTCACTGTGGGAGACAAAACACTGGGCAAGGCAGGGCATTGTCTTATTCACCACGTTGCATCAGCTCATAGTGAAATGTGTTTCTCTCATTCTGAAGGCAAGGATTCAAAACCAGAAGGAGTCAGCCCGTCTCCAGTATCGTTGGTCCCAGAAGAAAAAGTTTCTTTTGGCCTCTATGCACTCTCTGTTTCGTCACTGACAGTGGCAAGGATTAGAAAAGTTTATAACAAACTGGACAGTAAGGCCATAGCCAAGCAGGTAAGCTGGAACACTCAGGTTGAAGAAGACTTTACGATCTGGCTAGTTTTATGATTTTAACTCAGGAAGTGCCATGTTATGTAATTGTGGATGTCACACACATTAACAGAGAGCATGCACCAGCACTGTTAATACTGGAAGCTATGCATGTGTGCTGGGGCTGCTGAATTGAGACTAAGGCGTTAACCTTTTATTCGTGTATTTTATTTATCAAAATATTTATATATGGCTATTTATTTATTTTTAAATAAAAAAATCAAAGCGGTTTGCAGCAATATTACATAAAACCACACAGTAAAAGCTATATAAAAAGTTTAAATCAAACATCAATTAGCTGTTGTGGAAATATGTGTTCTTAAGTGTCTGCAGATGTCTGGCGGAAGAGAAAATTTGCAGCAAGCATTTAAAGCTGAAACAGAGAAAACAGTTGGAACTAATTTCCTTAGTTGTTAATAGCTTGTGTGTAGATGCCTTTATTTTATATTTATTAAACAAAATTCATATACTCCTTGATGGTAATAAAACCTCTTTACAAAAAATATATAAAATATTAGTAAAAACAGTTAATAACTATGATTTTCTTTTGAATGGTTTTGGATAGTAAAACACATCTAGGTGTCTGGATAGGCTTGCCTAAAGAAAATGTTTTAAGCCGGCACCAAAAAGAGTATAATGAAGGTGCCAGCCCGATGTCAGTAGTAATAATAATTATCTTTAACTGATCATTTTATTTATTATAGTAATTAATGATAATATAGCAGTGATCGTTTAGTAGCTAGTAAAGTGTGTTCTTATGACAATACAATATTGCGGAGTAGGAAAGCTATTAGACTTTTTGTAGACATATTTGGGTATTTCTAGCACTAATTTAACCTCCCTCTCTTGGGTCTGCCACTGCTAAAGTGTGATATGAAAAAATCATGTAAGTGCAAAGTGGGAGATGACCATGGGAAATTGGGCTTTGTAAGATCAGCTGTTTGTTTGTTTTTCATTTTGATTTCCATATAGGTTTATCATCTGCTTTTACTTCAAAATTTTAGAGAGTCATACTCTGACAGAACTGGAGAACGTTGGGTTTAATGAAATTCAATATATGCTTAGCATTTTTACAGAAGCCACCTCTGGTCTCCTTTTATGATGCCTCTATCTATATGGACCCACAAAGAGTTGACTCAAATCTGTAACTTAATAGCGGATTAAACCATATCTGCTAACCTGTTCTTTAAAACTTCCAAGAGAAATACTTCCACTGCCTCTTTAGGCCGCTGGTCCTGCTACCTCACAGCTCAGCCTGCACTAATCCTTGAATCAAAATTCAGGTGTTCAGAATTGACCTAACCTTAACCTTTGGGGGGGACTAAGCATTATTCTGCCACTTCATGAAAATGTATTAACCACTTTGTGTTGCTGAAGAAGCCCTCTAAATGATCAGTTTTCCTTGTTTTAATTAGTTGGCTGTTTCATCTCATGAGAATGCCACTCCAGTGAAGCTGCTTCACAATTCAGGAGGACATCTGAATGGACCTGCACGTACCATTGGTGCAGCTCTGATAGGATATCTGGGTGAGATGAGTTGCAGTTCTTTCACTTTTTTAGTTCCAGTCTTTAGTTGCAATATAGAGTTTAAGGTGCTTTTTACACACTGACCATGGTACTAGAGGCTCAGATCGGAGCTTAGGAGTCCTCTAAATGCAGGTGCTTCTTTTCCCCCTAAGTAGAGGAACACCCAGCCCATGAGATGGGGAATCCTGATCTCTGCCCCAGTATCACAAACTCTAGGCATTGACTCATGCTCTTAGGCTTTGCCTTGTGGTGTTGGCACCCTCTGCACAATGAAAGAATAACTGAACATGATTGGCAGCATCCTGCTGTCCCTTGGAATACATATCTGGAATCTTGCCATTCTTATTTCTGCCTCGTTTACCAAGCAGTCTGCTCCTAGGAAATTCTCACAAGTTTTCTATCAATTCATGGCCTCTAGGCATCTGGTTTGTAGTCCCTCCTCATATATCAAGATTTGTAATCTCTGAAAATTATTATGTCCATGATTTTTTATTTTTTTTTGGTGGCCCATGCTTCCAAATCTATGATTCTTAAAACAGTCAAAAGTTTGTGATCTTCGCTTTTGTAGAGTTTGGATAAAACGTATGGGCCTTCTTATTACTCGCTTGGCCGACTAGTCATATGCGAGGTGGTCCCTATTAGTGCCTTGGACACTTTTAAAAATGAAAAGGCAGGATAAAAATCTGCTTCAGCAAATGAGCATTAGTGGTGGAAATGGGTGGTTTTTACTTTAGGCTCGTGCATGCTTTGCCATGGGGGAATGTTATGAGAGCAGGAAGGATTACGGCTCAGTGACAGCTTTGCATTTATAATGAAATAAATTTATGAAAACAAAATATGCATGCAGAAGGTTCTAGTTTCAGTCCCCAGCATCTTCAGGTGTGGATTGGAAAAGAGATTGCCTGAAATCCTGGAGGACTGCTGTTGATCAGTATAAACAATAGTGAGTTAGATAGGCTGTTTAGGGGAGAGATTTGATGCAAGGGATGGATGACACTGGCTTGACCAGAAACCAACGCTGAAAAAAATCTCAGTAGCTTTTTGTTTCTTCAAGTAGTTTAAGTTGCACACTTGAGCACCCCATTTCCCCCATCCACCTACCAAGAAAAACAAACCATTACCTTGGATAGATATGGCGAACTGGCAGCAGGGAGTGGAGTAAGTAGCCAACGGCAAGGGTATGGGTTGTGGCCAAAGTCCACAGAGCTCACTTGCTGCCCTGCAAGTTGCCAGTGGTGGAGGAGAGGTACAAGTAGTAGTGGACAGGGTGATAGCGCTGAATCACTGCAGCATCCTGGGATGGAGAGAAGGAATGCAATGGTGATGAGGTTGGTGTGGTGTAGCCACCAAGGCAGGAACATTGGGTTGCAATTTACATTGCACCAACCTTGCCACCACTGCGCCCCTCCCCCACGCCATCCTGGTGTGCTGCAGTGATTCATCTGAGCGGGGCATCCCCACAATGCCATTCTCTCCTGGGCACACCACCAGTTTGAGGGCGGGCAAGCTTGAAGGATGGTTGTGCCTGCCTTGAGTTGTGGCTGTACTAATTAGGCCAGCATTGTTAGCACGTGTTTGAGCACCCCATATAATTGAGTAATTGCCCCATCTCTAATTTCAGTTAAACTCCGTTGTCTTATTTGCATGTAATTGTTCAGCAAATGGATTGTGAGTCTCCTTTGAAAGCAAAAATGCGCTAGAAGTCATGTTAATTTTATATAGCTTACGTTTACTACAAATGAGCTAATTTCCCGTCTGCTCATTAAGGGCTTTTGTTTGGTCTTGTTTGTTTCTGTTTCTGATGTTGTAGGGTCTTGGGAAATGGGAGATGCATTCGCTGTTTTTGAATCACAGTAGAAGTTTTTGGTTGTACAGCAATCCATTAAACGCACTAATGCCAATTGGTTTATTTTTTGCCACCTTATGCTCAGGAGTAAGAACGTTTGTCCCAAAGCCTGTTGCCACTACGTTACAGTACATTGGTGGAGCAGCTGCTATTCTGGGTCTGGTAGCCATGGCTTCGGATGTCGAGGGGCTGTATGCTGCTGTGAAGGCCCTTGTGTGTGTGGTAAAGAGCAACCCTCTGGCTAGCAAAGAAATGGAAAGAATCAAAGGTTATCAGGTGCGTGCGATTTGAATTCTTACATGATTTTGCACTTCAAGCATTGATGCATCAACACATTTCATTACTACCTTGCCTTTGAAGTCAATTGCATTATTTAGCTCTGTTTCCTTGTGTACTGTAAAGGCTTTCAGTCAGTGACAGCTCTGCGGTTAAAGTGAAGCACCATCAGAATATGGTCATCGTGTCAGATCTGTGACATCTGCTAGCTCAGCAGAGACTCTTATCTGCTGCCAAATCAAAGGAAGAACACACAGGAGCCTGAAGAGAAATACATGAGGAGGAGCTTCTATTGTTGTTACCGTAATCAAGGGCAGTGCACCATCTGTGTCAGTTGAAGGGCATTTGAAGCCAGTAGTGAGGTTGATTTATCTGTCTATTTGAAAACATAGTAATTTGTTCGGACAAATGGATGGAGCTTCTCCTACGAGTTGGGAATGACTTTCCATCAAAGGAGATGAGACCCTTGTTCTAATTTCATCACGTCCAAGATGACTTCCCTTACCTTCAACGTGCCGTACGATTTAGAAGGGGCCGTTTTGTGTATGAGGCCCATCTATCACTTAGGCCCTGAACTGAATTTGCCAATAGGAGTCCTGTTTAATCAGTACTGCATTGAATGAACTAGATAATCATCACTGTGAGGCTTCTTTATTAGCCATTCTGCCTGCATTTGATTTGCTTTCAATAGGCACCAAATATTATTGTCTTCTGAAAACTAGTCATGGCCCAGGCGAGTTATGATCCATACCGAGGTAGGAACACTTACACTGGGCAGTAAAACGTGCTTTAGAAATTGCTTCCTTCTAAGCACATTTTTTAAAAAAATCAAAGAAAAGGTTTTGGAATTCAAAGGTAATGGATTCAGAAATGCTGATAACTTGTATTTCAAAAAGCAGCTCCCTGTCCTTTGCAGGACTCGTTATATCCACCTGGATAATCAAATATTAAATTACAAAAGGCTGCAACTGCTACCCCCAATCTTTTTGCCCACCACGATGACTTTCTTTTGTTTCCTTTTGACAAGCAGTTCTGTGTAGGACTAGTCACTAGCAACCCCATCCCTGAGAACAGCCTCTTCATTTCAGAATGCCTGCTGTTTTGTCGGTTAATGTCAACTTTACCTCTTTCTGCTTTTCCATTGTAATTCTTGGTATTATCCATAGTTTACGACAATGAAATGTACACTGTACCTGATCTTTGAATTTACAAAAGCATGGCTCTGCGAATGGCTCTGCCCTGCTGTGATACTTTTTATTATGCTTGGAATAAGATGATATTTCCTTTGTCTGCAAAAGGCTGTAAGAATTATAAAAGGAGGGGGGAAACCCACTTTGCCACTCAGTGTCCATATGTTGCTTACTTGTATTTCAGTTATTGGCAATGCTGTTAAAGAAGAAACGCTCTCTCCTGAATAGCCACATTCTTCATTTGACCTTTTCCTTGGTGGGGACTGTTGACAGCGGTCACGAAACATCCATTATTCCAAATTCAACTGCCTTCCAGGACCTGCTTTGCGACTTCGAGGTACATAGGGCACCCCTGAAAGCTAGGAATTATTACAATCATTAGGGAACCTGGGGCAAGTGTTTTCTGAAACAGAAAGCACGCCAGTGAAAGAGATTGGTTTTGTGGATCTCATGAAACCACATATCTAATGCAGTACATTATCCAGTTGTAGTGCAGAGAGACTATAATCTATCAGCAATGTTGATTGATTGTAACGCAGCCCTCTTAAAATATATTACATTATTCTGTTTCATGAAGGAGGTAAGTTTTGAAGCTAAACTCAAGAGTTGGTGTCAGAAATGCCTTTTGAAATAACACATGATCAATCATGAACGGCCTCTAACGTAATCGTTTTGCCACAGGATAGCACTTTGCAGTTACTCTGCTGGGGTAGCACACAGTGTGGAAAACTATGTTGCAGGTGAAAATTAATATGGAGTCTGACATGTATTTATTTGAATGAAATATTCAGTGTCAGGCTTGGCTCCCTTAAATTGAGAGAAAGATTAAATGAAGGCTTAAAGGGGAGGGGAGGCGAATAGTTGCCAGTATGGAGCAGCAAGATCAGTCTACTGTTTGCTCAGACCAGCGAAGCACCCTGACCTAGAAACCTTTTCACAAGTCAGGCATTATGATATAACCTGCTAAGGTTGTTGGTGTAAAGCAGAGACAGGGGACCTTTTTCAGCCAGAGGGCCACATTCCCTTCTGGGGCCCACATGCCAATGGTGGGCAGGGACAGAGTCAAAAGTGGGCAGAGCATTGAATGGTAATTGTTTTCCTTTGTGCAGTAGGCTAGTTCCTACACACATCCACACACCACTTTCTATCCTCCATCCAGGCCAGTAAGAAGGATTGTCAAGAGTTTAAGGTACCCCTGCCCGTATGGGCCAGTCTTGCCAGACTCTAGGGTTGTGCGCCCATCTCACTCAAGAGGCCGGGGGCCAGCACTGTCCGGAGACTCTTCGGGTCACGTGGCCAGCATGACATTGCTGCTCTGGCGAGCCAGAGCCGCACACGGAAACGCCGTTCACCTTCCCGCTTGTAAGCGGTCCCTATTTATCTACTTGCAACCCGGGGGTGCTTTCAAACTGCTAGGTTGGCAGGCGCTGGGACTGAACGACGGGAGCGCACCCTGCCACGGGGATTCGAACTGCCGACCTTTCGATCGGCAAGCCCTAGGCGCTGAGGCTTTAACCCACAGCGCCACCTGCGTCCCTGTCAAGAGTTTAGGTAGGCAGAAACATAGAATCGTAGAGTTGGAAGGGATCCTGAGTTTCATCTGGTCCAACCCCCTGCAATGCAGGAATCTCAGCTAAAGCATCTGTCGGGGAACTGCCATCGGCTCAGGGGGGAGAGGGGAAAAGCTGGATGGATTACAAAGAGCCCCCAAAGATCGTGGGAAGCAGCTCCTCCTCAGCAGAGGAGAGTAACCACGCCTCCAGTGGAGAGGAGCTTCAGGGCTCGGAGGAGGACACCTTGCCTGGGCAAAGTGGGGAGGAGAGAGGTCCTCCGTTACCCACGCCCTCCTTGCGCAGTAAGCTTCCACGCCGAGAGGGGAGGTGCAGATTGGGCGTCAAGAAACTACTCTGCTGGGGAAGGTTTAAGGACCGCCCACTCACGGATTCTGCCAGTGAATGAGCCAGCCATGGGAGAGTGGCGCTCTGGACAGATAAAGTTTATTTTGGCATCAAAAGCAAGGCTTCACACCCGAGCAGGGAGGCATTTGCCTACTTGCTCTCGAGCAACCCCTTGGAACCTTAACTGCATCCCTGACAGATGCCCATCCAACCTCTGCTTAAAAACCTCCAAGGAAGGAGAGTCCACCACCTCTTGTGGGAGTCTGTTCCACTGTCAAACAGCTCTTACTATCAGAAAGCTATTCTGGGTGTTTAGTCGGAATCTCCTTTCTTGTAACCTGAATCCATTGTTTCAGGTCCTACCCTCCAGAGCAGGAAAAAACAAGCTTGCTCCATCTTCCACGTGACAGCTGTTTAGATATTTGATGGATATCAGTCTCCTCTTTTGCACACTAAACATACCCAATTCCCTCAACCGTTCCTCCTAAGGCTTCCAGACCCTTTATCATCACTCAGGTGCAAAGCAGGGCTAGTAAGAGGATGTAGCTTTGGGTGAGATGGTGTGGCTTTGGAGTGCCCCGTGGGTCAGACAGAGAGGCCTGGACGGCTGCATTCTGAGCATCCCCATCCATGGTGTCAAGAAACTGCCATACCACTGTAGCTCGTCTCACTGCAGTTCCCTTCATTAGCCCAAACTCAGTGGCTTCCCCTAGACATAATCCTCACCTGACATCAGTTAAGTTGTCCGCTCAAGGTCCACTGTAGTGCTTTGGCATGTCTCAGTGTGCACAAAATGGCAGTGGCAACACTGGCAATAGATACTGGATGGTGTGGGTGGATGCCACAGGTCCTGTGAATGGAATATGGGTCGAGTGACCATTTTCTGAATTTGTGTTGTGCACGACGAGCAAATAATTACCCATGGCAGATTCTGGTTTCCCGCCTTTGTGTTTAAACTGAAAATCCAAACGCACAGTATTTGTAGTTTTAAGTAATGCCAGCGGAACTGAGGGACAAGATTTGATAAAGTGCAGGACTAGCTGATAGCAAACAGCAAAAGACAGGTTAGACTGATGACCAGAAAATGAGAATTTTAAAAAAATGAAAGGGAGTTTGTATATGTGGTCTTGGGAAGTAGGATTTTTGAGGCTGTTGCAGAATGGAGAGAATGATATCACAGAAGAAATAAAATCAGAAATGAAGAAATTGGGGGCGGGGGGGGGGAAGCAGCAGCACGTTACCTTAAGCAAAGCCAAGGGTATGAGAAAGGGAAATGATTGGACAGGCAAGTTAAGTTTGGAGATTTAAATGAAAATACTTTTGACTATGTAGTTTGATTTGCGGTAGCTTTTCACATCGCTGTTAACTGAAGGAGGTCTGCACGCTGATCATAACAAGAGGAGAAAGGTATTATTTTTGCAGTGACAGAAGGCTAGCAGGAAGCGGCCTTTGAAGAAGAGATTTAAGTTATAGAGAATAGAGGTGTCTAGGCCACAAATAAAGGCTTTAGCAGCAGCAGAAGCAAATAACCAAGATGGAGAAAATGACTTGTATTTTTCTATGAAGATTTTCTTATCACTATCTCGTTCTGATTCATTTTTTAACAGATTAATTAGACTTCCCCCTTTTTGTTCTCTTCCTTAATAACAATGTCAATTTTTATCATAGTTAAATAAAACCCAAGTTACAGTCACACACTTGTATGTGGCAGGTGGAAGTCGATCAACTTACTTCTACGGCATTGATGAATGCGCTGTATTAGCGCTGTTTGTTGTTTAGTTTTCAGATTGTAATCTTCCCCTGTTAGATTCTCAATCTTTTATAAATGGAAGATGAAGAGGCTAAATCTTGTCTTTTTATACCTGCAGATCAAGTAGAATATGAATTTACTTGTTCTTCACTTGTTTAATCCATGGGCTTTATTGTTTGATTGGTGGGCTGACAATTGCAATCTGGTATGGAAAGAAAAGAATAATTGTTTATGATAACTTCATTTAGACTCTATTTATTTCCAATGGGAAAAAGCAACACCTGGGACAAAAACAGCAATAGCTAACCCTAATATTGGTTGTCTAGAATAACTCTACTAAGCAGAATAGCACATGCCAGCTATAAATCAGCTGTATATTTTGTATTTCAGGTCTGGCTGCATGCACCCTATGAACTTCACCTTTCCTTATTCGAACATTTCATTGAGCTTCTTACTGAATCCAGGTAACGTCTGATATAATTTGTCTTGTAAACAATACAGCATTATGTACAATCCAGATTTTGCTTCCCAGTCTCTCTCCCCTTTGCTTGCTTTAATGCTGTATCACGATTTTGATTTGATATGATTTGAAAGGTTTTTTATTATGATGGGAGAATAAGAAAGGAAAGGTGGAACTTGCGGAAAAATACCGAAAGACAGACAAGTGAGTTAAGAGAGCTGGACTGAATTGAACGCTAAGCACCTAGTCTTAACTATTGGAAGTTCCATCTAGATAGTTATGAAGACTACAATATAAAATGCAAACATGAAGTCATGGTTTTTTATGTCATTGGCCATGCTGGCTGGCTGTTTTCCAGAACATTTGGCAGTGGGATAGGGAAGATTGCATTAGACCCATGTCCTGTCACCAGATATTTTGTGGGCAAGCCCAAGAGACTAGGCTTTTTCTGTAGTCAGAAACTTAGACTTCCTCTGGAAAGGAGATTCAGTCTGGCCCCACATCTGCTATTTTCCACAGCAGTTGGCCTACTTGCTTCAACAACATTTGGCTGTTTTAACCATCTTATATACATTTGGATGTTAATAGCAAAGATGGTCAGCAAACAATAAGAGTGGGGGAAGGTATTTCCAAACCAATTTGTTTATATAAATTAGTTTTTGTTTGCTCTTATTCTTGGCTGCTACCAATTTTACCTATGTTCTTATCTATCATGATGACTGATGTTACGATTTATTTGTGTGTGGGTTTGTAAGCAACCTTGGAATGAATGTGTCTGATGTAAAGCCAGGTTAAAGAAACTAATTGAAGTAAATGGAGGAAAATACGTTCCCACGTTTGACATTATATTCTCGTTACATGGTATGAACATAAGTCAAGTGGATTGCTAGATCCATTTTTTTTTTTAAAAAAAAGAGCTGTAGTGCATGCGCTACTCAAATCAACGAGAATTGCTTATTATTTAAGCTGTTCTTTTCATTTCAGTGAAGCAGCAAAGAATGCAAAACTGATGAGGGAGTTCCAGCTTATCCCAAAACTTCTGTTGACACTTCGAGATATGTCTTTGTCTCAGCCAACAATTGCCGCTATTAGCAACGTACTGAGCTATTTGCTTCAAGGATTCCCTAGCAGCAATGACTTGCTCAGGTACCAAATAGAGTTATCCTTTGATTTCCTCCTTTCTACAATCAATCAATCAATCAATCAATCAATCAATAAAAATAGATCGCATGTTTCTCTGTGAGGCTACATTTATCTTCCGTTGCTCTGAATCTACCAGCCTGGGAACATAAAACATTCCTTATGTACACAGTTTTTTCATGCTTGGTAAATTTAATAATCTTTTACAGTGGCTTTCCAGAATCCATTTCAAAATACCTTGAAGATGATGTTCTTTCCCCTCCTTATGCTTCAAAATGTCCTATTTATAGTAATTTTGCACACATGGAATGAGAGAGAGAGTGTGAGTGAGTGTTATCCAGGGCAATTTGTTTCAGAGTGTGTGTGTACGTGTGTGACTGAGTCAACTTTATTCAATCCTAATAAATGTCAGGATCTGAATTTTAAAGAAAATAATTGCTGCTTAGTGTTACTTTGCAGCCAATGTTAATTAATGACAAATTAAACTCCACCTGTCAAACGGAGTGCATGCTGTTTTTCCCCCTCTTATCCACCAAGGTTTGGGCAGTTCATCTCTTCTACTTTGCCTACATTTGCAGTCTGTGAGAAATTTGTAGTCATGGAGATGAACAATGAAGAAAAGCTTGACACTGGTAAGTAGTTCCATTTCTAGTGGAACCTAGGAAATCACTCGAGAGATGTTTTCTCATTACCACGGATGATGATCTCTTTGTTTTCAGTGCTACAGTCCCTTCACTTTTCCTCTCTAGAAAGATAACCTTTTAATTAGGATGGCCCCTTTAAAGTTAATTTTCCAAGGTTGCACTCTACAAACTTCAGCACCCAAGAAACTCTCATTTAAGTCAAAGAGGCTGGCATGGAAATAAATTCCACTGGCTTGTGTTGCAAAAAGTGCAGGAAGTTAAGAGAAAAGTCCTTTTCACAGAAATAAAAGTAAAAGAAAACTTACTACATGGCCCTAAGATGTTAAATCTCCTGCCATAGATCCTCTGTGATATTTACATGTAAAAGCAGTTGGTTGCGACCAAGTGTGTGGGACTTGGCCACACAGAGTTGCAAGTGATTAGTCTCATTGATTTTGGTTTTCTTTTCATGTAAAAGGAATTAGGTTTAATTGAACATTCAAGCCATCTAAATGGAAATGAAGTGGAAGAAATGTTTACATTGGCACTTTTTGAAGTGTAGTGTACAAGAAAAGTAATGAAATTCCAGGTGGGCTGCATGGACCACGGCTCTTCAATTGTTCTGAACCGCAAATTGCATGAAAAAGCAGGAGTAAACAGTTTCTAGCATATACTTTTAAAGGTAGCAGAGCTTGTTTTTCTTGGCTACACTGTACCATTAAACATCAGCTGGAAGTTCTTCCCCTCTTCGCTTCCCTTTGTGTGAAAAGGAAAAAGTAACGAAGTCTGAAATGAAAACAAAACAAAACTGAGCCTTTATGAGCTTTAAAACCCTCTTAACTTTATGCCCTCTACCATTCTGCTCTTTAGTTCAGAAATTCCGAGTATTTTCCCTCCACTCTTTATTGCCCTAAACATGATGGGAACTTTTATAGTGCTTCTGCATACTTACATACAGTGGCGTAGCGCGGGTTGTCAGCACCCGGGGCAAGGCAAGTAATTTGCGCCCCCTAACCCGTGGAGAGAGTGAGTGAGCCAGGTAGGGGCAGAGAGCTGCGAGTGTGAGTGCACCCCCCCCCCCGATGTTGCGCCCGGTGCGGCCAGCCCCCCCTGCACCCCCACGCTACGCCACTGCTTACATATGCTCCTTGAGCACATAGAGTAGAAGAAAGAAACTGAAGAAAAGAAAATGGTTAATTTGAAGTGTTTGTCGTATTTTCCTTGCCTAGGCAATTTTCCCACCATTCAAGTTGGTTAAATGTTTCAGTCTTCATTAGTAGGTTCATCTTCACTCACTTGCAGAACTTGGAATCTGTTTTATGGTATACTAGTAACAATAATTTAAATTCACACTCTTGCTACATGAAATTCATTTGGGCGTAGTTTGTTCTTAACTGTGGGTGCAATCACAGTGAATTTACTGCCGATTTCCCCCTTTTCTGTTTGTGGTGACTGCCATTCTGTAACCTGCAACTGTTATTTTCAATCAGCAGTCTAGCGTATTTTCAGCTCAAGCAGGTTTTAGTCATACACTGTTTGTTACAATAGCAGAAAACTATTTACAAACCAGTTATATTTTGAGGGGGCAGGAGGCAACTGATGTTATTTTAGAAGATACAATACTTGCAAGAAGCATTCCATTGATGTGTTTCAAAGTTAACTATTCATTTTGTGTTTTAGGAACGGAAGAAGACTTTGGAGGTCTTGTTTCTGCAAATCTTATCCTTCTGAGGAACCGATTGCTGGACATACTGCTTAAGCTTGTGTATACATCTAAAGAAAAAAACAGTGTCAACTTGCAGTGAGTACAAGTAGCCTAACTTTTGCTAGAAAATGTGACTGTGTCAGGAACCCACAACACTTTAATGGACAAAAACGAGGCTTAGCCAAGCTCTACTTGAGAGTTCCAAGGATGGTGTTAGCTGTTCTCAGCATATATCCCTGTAATTGGCATTGTGTTGCACCACTGTGCCATAGCAAAGGGAGGGGGCAGTTGCAGTCATTATTATGGCAGCTACATCTATGCTTGTGGAATTACCGCCACATGTTTCTGTGCACAGCTGTGTACACCTGGAATTGAGCAAGTAGATGGTCAATTAGTAGTGAAATGCTAACACGGCAACCATCTATTGAGGGCATTTATTTAAAGAGATTGCAGGTTTTTAATGTATTTATCAATTACATTTATTTCAGAGCCACGCTGCTCCAAAGTTTGGGGTCAGCCTATGTGTATAAAGACACCCTTCCAAAGACATCTGGAATGGAATTTGGGTGACCCTGCAGGGGAATTGAGTTCCACAGTTGAGAAGCATCCTCCAAAAATGCTTCTCAGTTCCCCTGTGTGGCTGTTGGTTGGTTCATGGTGCAGTAATAATAGTAGTAGTAGTAATTATTATTATTATTATTATTATTATTATTATTATTATTATTATTTAAAGTAACTGAAGTGATGAACCAGTTCTTCATATATTCTCATTCATTAGATAGCTTTATAGACTGAAGAAAAGTTTCCATTGATGAAAAATCGTTTCACAGGAAAGTGAATAGGAATTTATCTAAGAGTATTAGAATTGGAAGGGACGGCAAGGGTCATCTACTCCAACCCCATGCAAGGCAGGAATCTTTTGCCCAACATGGGGCTTGAACCCACAACCCTGAGATTAAGAGTCTCATGCTCTACCGACTGAGCTACCCAGCAGAGATTATTCGGAATGCTCTTAAGGAGAGTTAGCGCATTCTCAATTGTGTATGCTCAACCTTGCAAAATGCAAACAGTTAAAGTTACATATCAAACAGAATGAAAAGCACCTAACATTTTTATCCTATAAGGCTTGCCCATTTTGTCTGGCTTTAGTCCATTAATTCTGTAGCATTCCTCCTACTTTTTATTCAGGGCTTGTGAAGAACTGGTCCGGACCCTGGGGTTTGACTGGATTATGCTGTTTATGGAAGAGCACTTGCACCCTACCACAGTGACAGCAGCCATGAGGATTCTGGTGGTCCTGTTGAGCAACCCGGCCATTCTCATCAAGTTCAAGGAAGGCCTCACTGGCGGGGGCTGGCTTGAGCAAACAGATTCTGTGTTGACTAATAAGATTGGAACGGTGCTTGGTATGAATATTTTAAAATGTCCTAATTTTTGAACCCCTTTTCTCCCCACCCTCACTTTTATTTTATTTTTAATATTAATGTTGTGGCTAATACATAATTGATCTAGTACCAGGAAGGCTAGTTTCAATGTAGCATTCTTAACGGCTGTGAGGTGGTCTCTAGAGGCATGCACTCAGAAAGTATTGTGACTGAATGGGTCATCCTGTGGAATGAACTCCTCTTAGCCTAAGGTTGTAGGCATGGGTGATTTGAGCTCACACCTTTATGGGTGAGCACATTTCACAGATAGCTCATTAAGGCAAAACAGTTTTAGTCTGTCTGTGATTATGGCTGTAAAACACCCATGTAAATCAACCCCAGCCATGTACAGGATCATAGACTAGACTAGTTTGTGACATTATCAGATACCGTATTGGCCCGCATATAAGCTGCACCTTTAAAATTGGGGGGGGGGGAAATACTGTGCTGCGTTGCTGGTGGCCTTTCCCCTTCCTGTTTGCCCCACACTCCTGGCGCTGTTTGCCCCATGCTCCTGGCTGCATACCGTAAATTCGCGAATATAAGCCGCACTTTAACTTTCAACGTTGGAATTTGGGGAGAAAGTGAGACTTATATTCAGGCCAATACGGTACAAAGCATCCCAGTGAATCTGACAAACTCAGAGGTTTCCGCGAAACAGTACTGCATAGGAGCACAGTGACATCTGAGGAATATGGAGGATTGTTCACAGCGCAATGCTATGTTTGTTTACTCAGAAATAAGTCCCACCCAGTGGGGTTTACTCCCTAGTAAGGGCACTTAGGAGTATAGCCTTAGTCACCTTTCAATGAACGTTGAAGCTAGAATCCAAATCCATTGTGTCCCAGCTTCCTCCCATGTGTGGGGAGGGTGATGTGTGGGTTGTTGTACACAAGCAATCTTCGTGTTTGCACTTCCCAAATTATCTCTTGACGTTATTGGAACAGCAATTGCAGCTGCTGCTGTAATATAAGAATAGGTCCAAAATAAAATATTTGGAAAGTACTGAGATGACTAAACCTTTAAAATTGGAGGAGAGAGTTGAGAAACCATCTATGAACCTGAGTTGTACCTGATGAACAATACATTGAGCATCTCTAGATTAGGGCATAGTGCATTACTTAGCAAGAGAGTATACTAAAATTTGAATCTTTGTAACAGAAGCAAAATAATTAAATTACAAACCTTGAATGGTAGATGACATTCTTTATATCAGATGTCTTTTTATACGAGAAACTTATTTATCAGGGATGACAGGTAGAGGGCACAGAACAAAAGATAGTGAACATTTTTGGGTGATGTTGAGATTATGGAATTTAGGTGAAATTGGATTCCAATTTGAGTTCCATATGGAAATGAGAATATACCGTATTTTTCGGACTATTGGACGCACCGGTCCATAGGACGCACCTAGATTTGGGGGGGGGAAATAAAGGCCAAAAAAATTTATTTCCCCCCCCCGCCAGGCGCGGGGCTGGGGCGGGGAAGCCCGAGCTTCCCCCTCCCCCAGAACGGGACCCAGAGCCATGCCGAAGCTGCGCGCAGCTTTGGCATCGCTCTGGGAGCTTGCGGGGCTGGGGGAGGAGGAAGCCTTCCGCCAGCCTCCAAACCATGTCGGGAGACAGCGGGATGGCGCGCTGCACCTCTCCCGCTGTCCCCCGAGTTTGCGGGGCTGGGCCAGCCTTCTAACCAAGTCGGGGGACAGCGGGAAGGGCGAGCTGCGCCTCTCCCGCTGTCCCCCGAGTTTGCGGGGCTGGGCCAGCCTTCTAACCAAGTCGGGGGACAGCGGGAAGGGCGCGCTGCGCCCCTGCCGCTGTCTCCCGAGTTTGCGGGGCTGGCGACGGGGAGGAGCAGGCTTCTCCCCCCGCCAGCCTTCTAGACAAGTCCGGGGACAGCGGCAAAGGCGCGCTGCGCCTCTCCCGCTGTCCCCCGAGTTTGCGGGGCTGGCGACGGGGAGGAGCAGGCTTCTCCCCCCGCCAGCCTTCTAGACAAGTCGGGGGACAGCGGCAAAGGCGCGCTGCGCCTCTCCCGCTGTCCCCCGAGTTTGCGGGGCTGGGCCAGCCTTCTAACCAAGTCGGGGGACAGCGGGAAGGGCGCGCTGCGCCCCTGCCGCTGTCTCCCGAGTTTGCGGGGCTGGCGACGGGGAGGAGCAGGCTTCTCCCCCCGCCAGCCTTCTAGACAAGTCCGGGGACAGCGGCAAAGGCGCGCTGCGCCTCTCCCGCTGTCCCCCGAGTTTGCGGGGCTGGCGATGGGGAGGAGCAGGCTTCTCCCCCCGCCAGCCTTCCAGCCAAGTCGGGGGACAGCGGGATGGCGCGGTGCGCCTCTCCCGCTGTCCCCCGAGTTTGCGGGGCTGGCGACGGGGAGGAGCAGGCTTCTCCCCCCGCCAGCCTTCTAGCCAAGTCGGGGGACAGCGGGAAGGGCGCGCTGCGCCTCTCCCGCTGTCCCCCGAGCTTGTGGGCTGGCGGTGGGGCTCTCCTGAAGCCTGGAGGTTGTGGGGCTGGTGGGGGGGAGAAGCAGGCTTGCTTCTCCCACCCCCAGCCTCCAGATCAGGTCGGGGAATAGCGGGATGGCGGAGCACCGCCATCCCGCTATTCCACGACCTGATCTGGAGGTTGTGGGGCTGGGGGGGGGGGAGAAGCAGGCTTGCTTCTCCCACCCCCAGCCTCCAGATCAGGTCGGGGAATAGCGGGATGGCGGCGCTTCGCCATCCCCCTATCCCCCGAGCTTGTGGGGCTGGGGGGGGAGAAGCAGGCTTGCTTCTCCCCCCGCCAGCCTCCAGATCAGGTCGGGGAATAGCGGGGTGGCGGCTCTGCGCCTCCCCGCTGTCCCCAGCTTTTGGGTGCAGGCTGCTGCCCGCAAGCCTTGCGAGCCCGCGGGACATCCCGCCGGGCTTGCAAGACTTGGGATAGCTTCCTGAAGCCTGGAGAGCGAGAGGGGTCGGTGCGCACGGACCCCTCTCGCTCTCCAGGCTTCAGCAAAAGCCTGCATTCGCACCATAGGACGCACACACATTTCCCCTTCATTTTTGGAGGGGAAAAAGTGCGTCCTATAGTGCGAAAAATACGGTAATGTATTTTAAAATAAATTAGGTCCTATTTCAATGCCACTGTCTTGTATTCTCATAGGAGAATCCTTTTGATTATGAAGAATACAGTAGTGCCCCGCAAGACGAATGCCTCGCAAGACGGAAAAACCCGCTAGACGAAAGGGTTGTCCGTTTTGGAGGTGCTTCGCAAAACGAATTTCCTATGGGCTTGCTTCGCAAGACGAAAATGTCTTGCGAGTTCCTGCAGGGTTTTTTTCCTCCCCCCCCCCCTTTTCCCAAGCCGCTAAGCCGCTTATCAGCTAAGCCGCTTAACAGCTGAGCCGATAAGCCGCTTAACAGCTAAGCCGCTTATGAGCTGATCCGCTAAGCCTGCTAAGCCGCTATTAGCGCTAATCCGCTAAGCCGCTAATGGGCTTGCTTCGCAAGACGAAAAAACCGCGAGACGAAGAGAATCGTGGAACGGATTCTTTTCGTCTTGCGAGGCACCATTGTAATGACAAGCATTTTGTACCAGTGATATTTATTATTACATTTTCTGGCAACTTTTTCTTCTTCATGTACTTAAAACAATGGTATTTCAGAGTTCCTCCTTAAACTGAATCACCTTATTCCTTGGATGTAGCCTGTGTTTGAAAACAGTAATATTGTTCTGGGTTCCTGCCCCACCTCCCACCCCATCTGTGTTCAGTTCTCCTATGTTCATAATTTTTGACAAATCCAACCAATAACATTCTGGTGCTTGGGAACCCTGCACAGTGGATTTTGACAGGTGGGCAGGACAACCTACCTGTCCATCATGAGATACCATGTTGATGTTATGTGATTGGCAGATGGGTTATCCAGTCCACCTGTCAAAGGTTGGCCCACAGGATGAGGCCAGGTAAAGATCTGGCCCTTGGATCCAGCAGGGTTCCTGATTTAAAGAGATGTTAACCTTTTTATTGGTAGCAGCAAGAAAGGAGGATGGATGTATGGTGCAAGATGGTCTATGGCAGGCATAGACAAACTCGGTCCTCCATATGTTTTGAGACTACAATTCCCATCATCCCTGACCACTGGTCCTGTTAGCTAGGGATGATAGGAGTTGTAGTCCCAAAACATATGGAGGGCTGAATTTGCCTATGCCTGGTTTATGGGTTGTATCCAGTTTTAGCCATACTTGGAGTACACCCATCAAAACTAATAGACAGGGGTAACTTAGTTACATTAATTTTAGTTGGTCTGTTGTAAATAAAATTCACTTGGATGCAACCCTGTGCCTGGAATAATGCTCTTGCTGAGAAGGTGACCGAACAGTTTTGAGCACTGAGGTAACTGGAATATGCGGGTGGTTTTGTTGCCCAGTGGCATGGCTTTGTTCCATGGGTAAAGAGGCCAAATGAGACTTCAACACTGACCCAATATTTTGGGGTGAAGAAGAAAAATAGCTTTATTAGGATATTATTTTTAACCATCCCTTAAACCTGAAAATATAATGTGCCACAATACATTCTGCACTGCTTCAAAAATTGTGCTTTTTTTCCCTTTTTTTTCTTGTTTCCTACACATTTTTTTTTAATTAAGCATGAAAGTAGATACCAGACAAAACTGTTGTATCTTGAAACTCTGAAGAAACACGAGTAATTTCCACATTCCTCTGCACAATCCCAAAACATTTTGACAGGGCAGGCAAATAAAATGCCATAGCAGAAAAGCGTCCATCTTGGGTTGTTGTTTTTTACCATTGAATTAATTGTGGCCTGGTTTTTTTGCAACCTGTTGCTCTGACTACCCTATTTATTGTTGATACTAGTTACACACAGGTGTTAACCACGGTGCTCTGTTCCATTACGTTGATGTTGTGAATCGGACCCACTGTTGTTGCTTTTTGGCTTTTAATTTTACTTTCCCCCTCTCAGGTTTCAACGTTGGCAGGAGTGCTGGCGGCAGATCGACTGTCAGGGAAATTAACCGGGAGGCTTGTCATTTCCCAGGCTTTCCGGTTCTTCAGTCATTTCTTCCTAAGCACACGAATGTGCCTGCGCTCTATTTCCTCCTAATGGCACTTTTCCTGCAGCAGCCAGTCACTGAACTGCCTGAAAACCTGCAGGTCAGTGCACCTGTCATCACCAGCCGATGTAATCAGGGAGGCCAGGTAGGGATTATCTAGCAAGATACCAATTTTGTTAAGTGTGACTCAAAAAAGCAAAGGGGGGGGGAGTGATGGTTTGAAGCCCCCTTCGCAGTAGAGTACTTAAGCTCTGCAATGAAAGTTGTGATGAAGCATTCTGTATCTGAGAGGGACTTGACATTCGTTCCAGTGCCAGTTAGAATCATGCTTAATAGAAATATAAAGGACATAAGAAGATACAGCCTTCATTCCCTTGCATTGTGTGGACAAATCTTCTCTTGCGCTCTTCTAGAATTCCACTGAATTCAGTAGAGGTCCCAGTGGTTAACAGGCACAGGTCATTCTAATGTCAAGTTTAATTTTGTGTGAATGATGGGGAATGCTCTTCAGAAGGCTTTATAATTTGAAAATGAATGCATGACTAAAGAAGGGTCAGGACAGTGTGCTGTTTGAGAAACAATAATGAGGCTGCATATATAGGCATGATATTGTATTTCTCCCAAGTTTTTGTTTCTTCGTGGAACTCAATTAAAAAAGCAAACAGTTTGTATGGCTGGACTGGAGTCCGAAAGGTGCCCTGATAGCCTCCTCTTTTGTAATTCACAAGTAGCAACTTGAGCATATGCTAAAGCTGCCCCAAGGCCAGGAGCAGTGGGCAGATAGATAATACGCCTCAACGCCATCTGGAGGTGTATAGTATTGTACTTTTGAAGTACACAAGCAGATAATGAGAGGTCTTTAAAGGCTGCATGCTGAGTTTACTGGAAATTGCTTGATGGGAGCTTTTAGAGCTTCAGTAAGGCTGCTGCATTTCTGTGCGCTGCTGTGGTTCGCCAGAAGCAGCTTAGTCATGCTAGCCATATGACCCGGAAGTTGTACGCCGGCTCCATCAGCCAATAAAGCTAGATGAGCGCCACAACCCCAGAGTCGTCCGCGACTGGACCTAACGGTCAGGGGTCCCTTTACCTTTAAGGCTGCTGCTAAATTCCAGAAAAACCTGAAATACAGAGAGACTTCGGGTGGGGGGACTGCTGTGGTATTTAGCAGTGGATGGGACTTGCTAGATGTTCTGGTGGAAGTTCCATCTGAGCCTCCAGTAACAGAAGACGGAAGCACTTGGGTTGCCCAGACGCTTCAGTGCTCACCAACATTGTCAGCGTTCCTAGTGCCAAAAATCTTAGTTGCATGCTTTATAAATATGGGTTTTGCTAGATCCCCTGCATTCAATGGAACAATCAGCTCCCCAGATTCCAGGGGACATAATACACCTCAGAATCCTCTTGGGTAGTTTCCTCCATTTCTGGGGTTCATCACTGAAAACCAACAGAGATTGATGGAAAACCAAGAGAGACCTACAATTCCTGTTGTGTTCATTTGGCAGTACCTCTACATAGGAGCTTCTAATTGTCTTGACTTGCCACTTGAGCACTAAATTGGAACTTCATGAACAAGTGCCCCTACCCCCAGTAACACAAATTGTAGTATGACAAGACATATCCCAAGTTAATGTTGACCTTTTCTATGGAAGCTAATAATAATAATAATAATAATAATAATAATAATAATAATAATAAAATTTTATTTATAGCCCGCCCTCCCCAGCCAAAACCGGGCTCAGAGTGGCTAAGATCAATTATAGTGATACTTTTAAATTGGGTTTTGTGTTGACTATTATTTTCCCATCCCCCTATTCTCAATTTTCTTTCCAATCAACAGTTTGACTTGGATTCCATTTGGACATTTATATTTGGTGTTCCTGCATCAAGTGGCACTGTGGTTGCTTCAGTTCACAATCTTTGCACAGAAGCTGCATTTCTGCTGCTGGGGATGCTTAGGAGCATGTTGAATTCAGTAAGTATGAACACTGTTCAGATGTCAATAAACATCCAGCTTTCCTAATTATGTGTTACCATTTGCTTTTGAAAGCTCAGAGAGGCTTACCTGGGGCTATGAGGCAGAGTTCCCCCCATATCCTAATAGGGCTGATACATGCTTAGCTTTAATATGTTACTTATTATCTTTATGATGCCATTGGTGGACGTGATTGTTTAGAGAGCAGCATAAGCAAAAAACATATCTCCATGTCCCAGTGAATTTATCTTCAACCGTTTTCATATTAAACACAAATTAACAAAATGATGAGATGATGATATCTTACTCTCCATACAATGTGTTTTTCTTTAAATAAGTAAAGTAGTAATAAATAAGTAGTAATCTTATTTATATATTGGATTTTGTTTTATATTAAGATCCCAGTGCAGGTTATGGCTACACACACACACACACACACACACACACAATTAGCTTTGTTTTTGCCTTTCGTTACAGCCTTGGCAGTCCGAAGAAGAGGGTTCTTGGCTTCGGGAATATCCAGTCACCTTGATGCAGTTTTTCCGCTACTTGTATCACAATGTTCCTGATCTGGCTTCAATGTGGATGAGCCCCGAGTTTCTTTGTGCACTGGCAGCTACTGTATTCCCTTTCAACATCCGGCCATACTCAGAAATGGTAGGAGAACAAACAACACACACACACACACACACACACACAGTAGAAACCAGCTTTTTTCTCTGTCTCTCTTTTACTTCTTGTCCATATGGCATTTTCTGTTGGGATCTGGGATTTTATTTGGTGAAGTTTTGCATTTACATACCACCTTTCCATACAATAGGACATGCTAGTTTTATACACACACACACACACACACACACACACACACAAATACACATAATGGGCAGTGTGTTGGACAAGGACCTTGGAGATGAGGGTTCAAATCACGGCTCAGCCATTAAACACACTGGCTGACCTTGGGCCAGTCGCTACATCTCAGCCTAAGCTACTTCACAGGGTGGTTGTGAGGATAAAATGGGGAAGGCGGAAAAGCATGTGCTCCACTTGGGCTTCTTGCAGAAAAGGTGGAGTGCACATGCAATTAATAAATACAACAAAAACAAAAACAAATTTAGATGGTGTGTGTTGATACGGTATAACTGGAAATGGGATGATCTAGACCAGGGGTAGGCAACCTAAGGCCTGGGGGCCGGATGCAGCCCAATCACATTCTCAATCCGCCCCACAGACGGCCCGGGAATCAGCGTGTTTTTACATGAGTAGAATGTGCCCTTTTATTTAAAATGCATCTCTGGGTTATTTGTGGGGCATAGGAGTTCTTTCATTCCCCTCCCCCCCCCAAAAAATAAATATAGTCCAGCCCACCACATGGACTGGCCCATGGCTGAAAAAGGTTGCTGACCCCTGGAAATACTTTTTTATCCAGCTGGGGAAAACTTTTCAGAGGAAAATTGTACAGTGGTGCCCCGCAAGACAGAAAACCCGCTAGACAAAAGGGTTTTCCGTTTCTGAGTTGCTTCGCAAGACGATTTTCCCTATGGACTTGCTTCGCAAGACGAAACGTCTTGCTAGTCTTGCGTTTTCCCCCCCCGCTCCCCCCTTTTCCTAAGCCGCTAAGCGCCTTTTAGCCGCTAAGCCTTTAATAGCCGCTAAGCCGCTAATAGCCTTTTAGCAGCTTAGCTGCTAATCCTTTAATAGCTGCTAAACCGCTAATAGTGCTAATCCGCTTAGCCGCTAATAGGGTTGCTTCACAAGACGAAAAAACCGCTAGACGAAGAGAATCACGGAACGGATTCTTTTCGTCTTGTGAGGCACCACTGTATTCAATTGTTTCCTGAACAGTCCAGGAAACAGTCCAAAAAGCAACAATCCCTAAAGTTTATACTTGTAGAAAAGCAACACTAGAATAACTGCAAACTGCTCCCTTCCATGCCTTGGCAAAGATAGTTTTGGTTCTAGTAAATCACTTGACTTGCATTATTGGTTTGTTTTTTTTAAAGGTTACGGATTTGGATGATGAAGTTGGATCTCCAGCAGAGGAGTTCAAAGCATTTGCCTCTGACACAGGAATGAACCGAAGCCAGTCAGAATACTGCAATGTTGGATCCAAGACCTATTTGACCAACCACCCCGCTAAGAAGTTTGTGTTTGACTTCATGCGTGTGCTGATAATTGATAACCTCTGCCTTACACCTGCTAGCAAGCAAACTCCTTTAATAGACCTTCTCTTGGAGGTAGAGTTGGCCTTCTGCCGTTCTTCCTTTAAGCAGGACCAGAGGTTGTAGCGAGTAGTTTTCATGATCTGTTGTTTGTTAAGAGTACCGGTTATACCAAATTGTGAGCGATGGTAAGTTGCAGCCCTTGGATTGTATCCAGCCCTGTGAAAGGGCTAGCTGGCCTGTGAGTTGCCACCGCTTTCTCTTTTCACTCCTTTTCCTCTGAAAAATCCCTGAAACTGTTCTGGAGGAAAGGGATGAAAGGAGAGCCAAACATACGGGTGGGCCAAAGAAAGAAAGAACGCTTCTTGTATGACCTTGGGTGGATCTAGACAAGGGGGGGGGTCGCCGCCACTATAAATAAGTCAGAAATTATATCGTTATAACAAAAGAAAGAAATCCCTATGGAAAACTGTGTTTTAAAATTTCCTGCTCTCTGCTGCCATCTGGTGTCACTTTTTTATAGCGCATTAAAATCGTCGTTTCTTTACTAATGTAGCTGAGTCTCCTCTGATTGTCTTGCCTTGTGTATTTTCTGGTCAGCCTCTAGCTCAGAAAGAAAGGAAGGTGATAAGGAATATACTTCAATGTGCATCACTCTGTATGCCTCCCTCCTTAGCTTTTTGAACCAGAAAGCAGCTCAGAAAAATGCGAGAGAGCGGAGGTAGGGAGATTCCCACCCCCCAGTGCTCACATTTGCTTCTGTCTTGTCCAGAGCTAGGGAGCAGCTTGGGAAATGAAGTAGAGCAGCATGTGAGCAACAAAAAGGAGGCTGCATCATACTCTTGTGATCCATGTCACCCTCATCCACTTCTCACAAAATGGTATTTTTATGAGGACCTGCTCCCCATCCCACCCCAATGAAGAGTAGAATTAAAAAGGCATCTGTTGCCATCATTAAACAAACAAAAAAAGTACCATATTTTTTGCTCTATAAGACTCACTTTTTCCTTCCTAAAAAGTAAGGGAAAATGTGTGTGCGTCTTATGGAGCGAATGCAGGCTGCGCAGCTATCACAGAAGCCAGAACAGCAAGAGGGATTGCTGCTATCACTGCGCAGCGATCCCTCTCGCTGTTCTGGCTTCTGAGATTCAGAATATTTTTTTTCTTGTTTTCCTCCTCCAAAAACTAGGTGCATCTTATGGTCTGGTGCGTCTTATAGAGCGAAAAATACGGTATGTGGGTGTGTTCTATCAATTTAGCAGGTAGCTTGTATTCAGGACATTTTTTTCTCATTTAAGAAGGAAAGTATATTTTAATTGACAATATTGACCACAGTTGTTGTACATGGAGCACATTCAATTTGTGTTGAGTGCCAGACAATACAAAGCCTGGGGTTGTCCTAAATTTGCCCGTTTACAAGAAGCCCTTACGGTAAATGCTTCTGTGCTTTTGTTTTATTTTCCAGGCCTCTCCCGAGAGATCGACGAGAGCACAGCAAAAAGAATTTCAGACCTATATTTTGGACAGTGTGATGGACCATTTGCTTGCTGCTGATGTTCTATTGGGTAATTAACTTATTTTGATGGACTCTCTTTCAGTATCACTTAAAAACACACTAAAATGGGCAAGCTCAGTTCGAAAGAAAAAAATTCAATATCCGGGAACGTTTCGAAAAGAATTGGGTGAAAACCCTGAAAGTATCTTAAGAGCAATTATACAAGTCCTTTGGTGTGGTTGCACTTGGAATTCTGCGTACAGTTCTGTGTACAAGTCCCGCTTTTGAGCTTCTAATAAGCATCTGGTTGACCACTGTAGGAAGTAGAATGCTGGACTAGATAGGACTGTTGTCTGATCCAGCTCTTACATTCTTAGAAGCTCAGGCTTAATGTGTGGAAGCTCGGGCTCTATGTGTCTATACTAAGAGACAGCCAAGATAAGTCTCTGGTCTCTTTCAGCAGCTTCAGCTTCTGTAAGGTAAAGGTAAAGGGACCCTTAACCATTAGGTCCAGTCGTGGCTGACTCTGGGGTTGCGGCGCTCATCTTGCTTTACTGGCCGAGGGAGCCGGCGTACGGCTTCCGGGTCATGTGGCCAGCATGACAAAGCCGCTTCTGGCGAACCAGAGCAGCGCACGGAAATGCCATTTACCTTCCTGCCGGAGCGGTACCTATTTATCTACTTGCACTTTGACGTGCTTTCCAACTGCTAGGTTGGCAGGAGCAGGGACCGAGCAACGGGAGCTCACCCCGTCGCGGGGATTCGAACCGCCAACCTTCTGATCAGCAAGTCCTAGGCTCTCTGGTTTAACCCACAGCGCCCCCTGCATCAGCTTCTGTAGCTGGTGTCAATCAGAGCTCCACTGTTCCAGGCGAGGTGGAAAAAGGCAGGGAGCAAGTCTTCCAGGACTTGCAGCCAAGGTGGTCTTTTAACCCATCTAATGTTGTGAGACCAGGGTATCTTTCCACCTGTTCCCACCTTCCTTCCTCTGAAGTTCTGCTGTGGTCCTCCACTGTTAGAGGTCTGAAGGATGGGCATACGAGGCAAGGCCTTCATGGCCCAGGCACAGGAAATGCCCTCCATCTGCACTAAACCTTTTAGCACGTGGCAAAGACATGTCCCTGTCACCAGTCCTGCTGGCTGGTGTGGTGGTGTTGGGAGTGATTGATTCCTCAGCAACTGGTAATGTTTGCATGTTAATCTGTCTTCCGGTTTGTAATTTAGCTTGGTTTCATTCTTAATGCTGTGCCTGTTTGACGGATGGGATGGAATTATTTGGGTAAAACGCTTTTTAACACTATCATTGTCATTTAGGGGAGGACGCATCTCTGCCTATAACAAGTGGAGGAAGCTATCAGGTGCTTGTAAACAATGTGTTCTATTTCACCCAGCGTGTGGTGGATAAACTTTGGCAAGGCATGTTCAACAAGGAATCCAAGCTGCTTATAGAGTTCATAATCCAGTTAATTGCACAGGTATGCTTCTCTTCTTCTTCCTCATTCTCCTATTATTTTGGCCTGCTTAACTTTATAAGGTAAAGGGACCCCTGACCATTAAGTCCAGTCGTGACCGACTCTGGGGTTGCAGCGCTCATCTCGCTTTATTGGCAGAGGGAGCCGGTGTATAGCTTCCGGGTCATGTGGCCAGCATGACTAAGCCGCTTCTGGCAAACCAGAGCAGCGCACAGAAACGCCATTTACCTTCCCGCCAGAGTGGTACCTTATCTACTTGCATGTTGATGTGTTTTCGAACTGTTAGGTTGACAGGAGCAGGGACGGAGCAACGGGAGCTCACCCTGTCGCGGGGATTCGAACCACCGACCTTCTGATCTGCAAGTCCTAGGCTCTGTGGTTTAACCCACAGTGCCACCCATGTCCCGCCTAACTTTATACATTGCAATATATACAAAGATAGGGAACCTCGGAGCCAGAGGCACTTTCCTTACATGTTTTTGCCTGATTGGAATCTGTCCTTGTTCTCTGATGATGCCTCCTGCTTGCCTGGATGGAGAACAGAGAACAGAGGGTGGGTGTGTGGGTGGGTGTGTAGCAACTAGTCTACTGTACAAAAGTAAAATTTCCCTGTGTTGTCTTGCCTTCTTTTGCCTCTGGCTCCGCCCACCACAGGCATGTGACCCTTGGAAAGATTACCCAGAAAGCAATACAGCCCCCTGGCTGTATGAATGTACAGATCATCAGATGGTTCTGTCTTTTAATGAACTCTCTAGATATCTGCCTCCTGCTTTATTATGCTAAAATTGCAAGTGTTTCATGGTCCTTTCCTGCAATTGAGGCCAATTCCTACAGAAACAAAATTGGAAGCTATTTTTACAACTTAATACTTGGCTATTTCCTTACATCTCAATAATACCGCAGTATGGTTTACTCTGATTTGAGTGGAAGAAGTATCTTTAAAAACATGCTAATAAACTTGGGGTAATACAGAGATTCCATGTTTAAACATGTTCATTTGCATTTTTTTGTTGCTTCAGTCAAAAAGAAGATCTCAGGGATTATCACTGGATGCCGTTTATCACTGCCTGAACAGGACCATCTTATACCAATTCTCGAGACCACACAAAACAGTTCCTCAGCAAGTGGCTCTCCTTGATTCTCTAAGGACACTTACTGTCAATCGAACTCTGATCTTGGGTCCTGGGAATCACGACCAAGAGTTCTTCAGCTGCCTGGCTCATTGCTTGATGAATTTGCATGCTGGGAGGTGAGGTCCTCACCAAGTGCACACACACCAGTTTGCTTAGAAAACTGTTTACTCTGTAAAATCGTCAGGTTCATTGTAATTGCCCCCCCCCTTTTCCTAGTGGACATATTTCTGCAGCTTATAAGCTAGAAACAGTCACACATATTTCCATTTATCTTGCTTGCCAGTGAAGGGGCAACGTACAGGAAATGTAGAAATAAAATTCCAGTCATGCAAGGACACACAATTTAGGTAAAATTTCAAGAGAAGTCACAGTACGTTCTTGACGCAGCTTTAGGTCTTACATGACCAAGTGGGCCATCAGTCTTGCCCTCTATCTCACACACGCTTCAGGTGAGGGAGTCTTTATGTTATGATGCTTATGTATTAATTTTGTCCAAATGTTGAAACTCCTGAACAGAAATACATGAAGCAGCCATGGTCATAATTTTGCTCATCTTCCTTCCTTGTCATGTGTAAACTAGGTTAACCTCAAGGGGTGGTGGGAATGTCATGTACTGAGCCCATGGAGATAGATACACATTTTTTTACTCTTCGCCTTTTAGGAAGGCCCAGTGCCTTTTTTCTTAAAAAATATTTAGATGTGTGGCAATCACACAGGGTCCCCGGACATTTCACCGTCTATTGATCCCTGTGCCACCACTTTATTTCTCGCTGCCACCGCCCAGGCCCTACCTGGTACAATACTGAGTCCAGTCAGGTTTAAATTGGAACATAAACTTCTGTTTATTTATTTCAGTTTAACAAGCGTGTGGTTTCATAAACGATATCGGTCAATTACAATCGTAGGGTACCTATCCAGACCTGTAACTTCCGCTACCTGCTCTCATTCACTAAATCACCTCTCAGATATTTACTTGTCTACCTAGCTCCTAACTGTTCCTGACTCAACTTATTTCGCTACACTAACTCAACCTACCCACAGACTCTATCCCAATTCACTCCCTTCAACCAACCACCCAACTCCCAACAAACTCCCCTTTTGCCCCTCCCAGAGCTGGTTTTATAGTCCCTCTGACTCCACCCCCTGGGTTCTGATTGGGTAACTTGTTTAACTAATTCACCTCCAACACACTCATATGTTAACATCACAAGAGGTACTCTCATTTTCCTACTCATATTGAAATACTGCCCCTCAATGAGGCCAAACTTAGATTCGCAAAATGTTTAGGGGTATGCGTAACCCCAGGAAAAAAGCACTGGGAAGGACAGTCTAGATAAACATACAGACACACACACACACACCTCTGCACTCCTAGCTAATGTAATGGAGACAAATACTGATCTAGCTTACTCCCTGAGGCGTTATCTGTTTTTGTATGTGTTTGGAGGGTGAGTGAGAGGGGGGAGCATTGAAATATGCAGCCCCCCCACCTCCTTTAGAAAGTGGTATAATTAGGAAACTTCATTCATTCATTCATTTGATTTCTTACCCACCCTTCACTGTGAAAGTCAAGAGGATGGCTTATAACAACTTTTTAAAGACAGTATTTAAAACAGTTAAAACAGTTTTTTATGTGATGGAGCCTGTTTGTTTAGGTCAGGCTTCACTCAGGTGATGGTGAGAAATGGAGACCTCGGGCAGATCTTATGTATACTTTTTGTCCTGCATACAGTGTAACTCCTTCACTTCCATCTAACATTGTTGGATAATATTTGCAGCAGCGTAGATGGGTTTGGCCTGGAAGCAGAAGCCAGGATGACTACTTGGCATGTAATGATCCCTTCTGATGTCGAGCCAGATGGAGTCTACAATCAAGATGTTAGTGAAGGTAATTATGCAGCTGGAGTCCATCCGTCTTAAATGTCAGTTAGTACGTTAGCTAATGTATTCCTCATGTCTTCCCTTAATCTTTCGGCTGTTTCATTTAAGAGTGGGGGTATGAGTTGTTTCCCAAGGAGCTATGAAGAAAAGATTGATGATAAACACTAGAATATAAAAGAAGCCATTTCGAAGTATAGGCCAAGCCAGGACTAATCAGAGGTTAATTTTGAACAGAGGACCAGTAATACAGATTACAGGCTGCATATCTACCTTAAACAGATCCTGCCCAAACAGCAGTTAGGAATAATTAGGATTAGGTTTAATCCCTCTCACTCAGCAGGACCTGCCTCTCATGGAAAATGGCTAACAATTCAGAACTCGGGAGAAAGCAAGATTTATTACAGATCTGTTTTGCAAATCATGGAAGTAGGTAGTTAAAATGGAGTTAGGATGCTGAAAGAGAAAAATAAGGAAGCCTCCAAATGACTGTCAGCAATTCCAGCATTGTCACAGCACAGGCTTTCTACTTCACTGGAAACCCTTCCGTTAAAAATTTCACCAGCATCGTTGCTGTTTTGTCCTTGACACTGAAGAATTTGGGTACGCCATTGTATATTGGCTCAAAATGGAGGAAATCTAGTATTTGATACTATGAATCCCAATCAGCACAAGATATTGTGTGACCTTGGGGTACACAAGGATGCACCATACCGGCACCTTATTTTTTTCTAGAAGAAAAGCACTGCTTATAAATCCAAATGAATAGACTCAGGTTAATATAAATCATAGGAAAAGCTAACACTAGTTTCATACAGTGTCCTAATCACATTAGGAGTGGGGTGAATATTTAAAAGAGAGAATCCAAAAGTGAATCTCCATTGTCTGGACCAGGCTCAATATATACTTGCTGTCCGCCTGCTCCCTGCCAATTCTAAAAGGTTTTTTCCTCCTCTACAATTCTATGATTCTGAACAAGGTAGTTTTTTGATTCAAGAATATTCACAAACCCCGGGTGCTTTTCCGAGGCAAGCACAGGTGGTTTTCCCCAAACTTAATTTTAGTCACACATTTGTTTTTTTGAGATCTATCTCTCTCCCTCACTCCCTCATTCTTGTCTCTCATCCATTCTGCAGCTGACAGGTGCCTAGCTTTATCTTAGAGCAATTTGATTTTACCATCTGTTTAAACTGACACTGTTATTACTTGTTTTTAATTTGCTGCACTAGCTTGCATGATGTTGTTGTTGTTGTTTTACTATTTATTAAATTGTACTCTTTGTTTCGTGCTACTCTGTTAGCCACTCTAGAGCGATAAATCTATGCTGAAGTTACAGGATATTAATTATCAAAATAAATACCCATTTGTTCACTTTTGTGCCCTCTTCATGCATTTAGGTCGCCAGCTTCTTTTAAAAGCTGTAAATCGTGTGTGGACAGAACTGTTCTACAGCAAGAAACAGGCTTTGGAGGAGGTATTCAAAGTATCTCTCCCCGTCAATGACAGGGGCCATGTGGATATTGCCCTTGTAAAGCCCCTTGTGGAAGAAGCCAGTTTAAAATGTTGGCAAAATCACTTGGGTAAGAGCAGCTGTGGAGATTATTATTGTGTGGTATATAATTCTTTGGCTGCTTAGGCAGATTTAAAACCCCTGAAATGTAGGGAGGAAGATGGGAGCAAAATGACATTGTCCTTGATTCCATCTGATGTTGGATAATTCGCCTTCTGTTCTACCCATTCCAAAGGGCACCACTTCATCCCCTGCTTTTCATCCTAGGAAACAAGGGTTTCCTGTTCATCACCCACAGACAGTGTTACAAATGTGGAATGTGGTCTTTGAGGGCTTTCTAATATAACGATGTAATATCTACCTGTTTAAAAGTACTGTATTTTTTGCACCATAACACTCACTTTTTTCCTCCTAGAAAGTAAGGGGAAATGTCTGTGCGTGTTATGGAGCGAATGCCTACGGATGACGGGGGGATCTGCTGCAGTCATGAGCAGAGGATCCATGGTTACAGCCTGCACCAAAAAAATCATGCACCCACTGTTGCCTGGGGCCACAATGGTGCAAAAACATGGTTACAAAGCATGGATCCACATGGATCCTCAGGATTTTTGGATTGGGCTACCCCAAACTCACCGTCAGATCACATGTCTGTGGCCACAGCATGAACCACAAAAATCATACATCCACTGTTTCGTTTAGAATATTTTTTTCTTGTTTTCCTCCTCTAAAAACTATGTGGGTGTTATGGTCGGGTGCGTGTTATAGAGCGAAAAATACGGTATGTAGGATGGGAGTGTGTTTGTGGGAGAATGCTACCATCTAGATTAGCCTGTAGCTTTTCTGGGTATCGTTTTTGGTTTGTAGCAGGGTGGATTTGATTTAAATCACTAATCAGTAAGACTTGATTTAAATCATTATTATTTTTTTACAGAAAGACTCAATCTTGCTGGTATAATCTTAATACTTACAACCATATGAAGGTTTCATTTTGGAATAATAAATTTTCAGAGTAGTTTTTAGTTATATCAAAAAATACTGATTTGGTTATACTATTATAAATACATAGACAGATAATTATGAAATTATGGTGAGGTTTAAGAAGTTAACTGTACTTTATTGGAAGGAGAAAAATAATCATTTCCTTAATAACCATTTAAACAATTTATTTAACTAAAACAATAACATTATAGCATATTGTAATGCGTATGGGTTGCTCGTGCGTAAGCTGCCGCCTCTCCAGGCTAAATTGCCTTGTTAAACCTTTCTGACTGGACGGCCCTTCTCACCGTGGCTGCCTCAGTCGCTAGCAGAATCCGTCAGTGGGCGTTTCTTAAACCTTTTCCAACATAAAAGTTGTTTGACGCCCAGTCTCCTCCTCCTCTCACTGCGCGGAAGTCTTCTGCGCAGGGAGGGCGTGGGTAGCAGAGGACCTGCACTCTCCCCGCTGGTGTCCAGTGAAGAGTCCTGGAGCCCTCTCGCCGATTCCCCATCTGCCCCCCTTTATCCCTGGTGTTGCGCTGATTTGCTTCCCCCTCTACTGAGCTGCCTCTCTCCCTGCTGGGCCCTTCTCCGGCATCATCTGAGAGCCTTCCCTTCGCCTCTAGCTCCGATGTCAGTTCCCTGACACATATGTATCCATGTTTGTTAACTGATGTGGTTAATTTTATTTATTTATTTTTTAAATTAGACTGAGTTTTAGCAGACATGAAAAACTTAAAACAAATCCTTATTTCCTGATGAATAGCCTTTGGACTATAATGTAACTTAAATAGAAGACTATATTTAGAAAGATTTTTCCTCTGAAAGCATTTTATTTTAAAAATCCAATTTAATTTTTAAAAAATCTGATTTAAATTTTAAAAAAACTGATTTCTTTAATTTATTTATTTTTTAAATCATCGATTTTTATCCGCCCTGGTTTGTAGGTGTGGTAGTAGGGTCCAGTAAATACACTTTGAAAACCCCTAACCCTTCTTGGCATTCTAGCTCATGAAAAGAAAAGCATCAGTAGAGGAGAAGCCTTGGCTCCGACTACCCAGTCCAAGCTCTCCCGGGTCAGCAGTGGATTCGGTCTTTCCAAGCTAACAGGATCGAGAAGAAACCGAAAAGAAAGCGGTCTTAACAAACATAATCTATCCACGCAGGTATTGCATAGCATTTAAAGATAAACAGATAATACAAAGGAAAAACAATGGTCATCCCCTATATGTATAACAAATTGATCAATGATTTAGCCTGTCTTAATAAATCCCCCCCCCCTTCACTATATTCTGTTACTTAGATTTTAAACTGCCTGAATGTTAAGTACTGTGGCCTGAATCCACCATAGCAGTTTCAAGTAGATGAGACTGTTGAAATACTTTGCTAGATTAGGGGGATTTTTTAAATTGTAAAACTTGCAGCGTAACTACTGTCTACCATAATTCCATACGTAATTCCACATTACTTGAAGTTTTCAGGGTTATTTTATATGTAAGTTGTTTTAAGGACGAGCTCTTTTCTGCACACATTAATATATTCATTATTTTGCTGTTAGGAGATCTCTCAGTGGATGTTTACTCACATAGCAGTGGTTCGAGACTTGGTAGATATGCAGTATAAAGAATACCAAGAGGTAAATGAGAGCAGTAATCAAACCAAATGCTTTTTATCAAATCTGCATGAGCGTTGTATTTAACAGTGGTTTCTTTATTTCGTTTCATTTTATTTATATAAAAATCTTTTATTTTGCTTTTCTGTTTTAAATTTGTAAGTCCCAAAGTGGTTTGTGATATACATAAACAGCCAAAGTAAAACATAACAACTATAACATTTTTACGTAGTCATGCAATTTGAACTATACCATCCAGAACCAAAGAAAAACTCAGTATCAGTAGTCAGGAAATGCCAGAATAGAAAGATCTTTTCCTGTCTGCAAAAGTACCACATTGTCTATTTTCTCCAGGTCTCCATGGGGAGCTCATTCCACAAATGGGGCATCACAATGAAAAAGGCCTTACAGTGGTGCCCCGCAAGACGAAAGGGTTTTCCGTTTTTTGAGTCGTTCCGCAAGACGAATTTCCCTATGGGCTTGCTTCGCAAGACGAAACATCTTGCGAGTTCTTGCGAGTTTGTTTCCTTTTTCTTAAAGCCGCTAAGCCGTTAATAGCCGCTAAGCCGTTAATAGCCGCTAAGCCGCTAATAGCCGTGCTTCGCAAGACGCAAAAACCGCAAGACGAAGAGACTCGCGGAACAGATTAATTTCGTCTTGCGAGGCACCACTGTATTCAAACTTTTCAGTACAATCAGAAGATCCCCCCATAGATAGTTCTCACTAAGAAACATACACCATGCAGAGATAAGATAATGATCATATCCTTTGGATAGGCTAGTCCTTCTCAGCCAGCCATCTCCTAAATTAAAGAGAATTCTTTATGTTGCTGCCCTTCAACTAGAGAGAAAGCCCTGTCAGCAGTTAAGAGGGGAGCATCCATAACTCAGTGGTATATATGCTTTGCATGTAGATGTCTCAGATAAAATCCCTGGCATCTCCAATTAGGTAGCAAGTGATAGGAGAGAATTCTTTCAGAAACTCTTCTTAAGAGCAGACTGTACTGGGATAAAGCAGCTTCATATGTTTATAGAAAGATTTGTGGTGCTGGCAGCCTAGGAGCCGTGCTAGAGCTGCTTAAGGAACAGGTACAGATTTAAGTACAAGTACACAAGTACACCCTTTTTATAGACAACACACTTTACAAATATGTAATTATGAACTATGTAAATAACAAATCCCGTGCAAGGACAGTTCACAACTTGAGTTTTTAAGCACCGAGATTGAGGAAAACAGCACGAATATCCAACTTTGCACCTTGAACCTTTTAAAAGAGTTGGTTTTATTTTCATTTATTAAATTTATATACCGTCCTTCGAGGATCACAGGGCAGCTTAAAAGGCCTTGGGCTTCTTTGCTGCCGTGCCTCATGAGAATTTATGTCAGTTAGAATCACGGTACAAGGGAGCTTACTTGATTCTGCATGCATTTATGACACGTGATTTTGCACACCATGGCAGTTAACCTGTAGTGTCCTTTCCAGCGTCAGCAGAATGCGTTGAAGTATGTGACAGAAGAGTGGTCTCAGATTGAATACGAGTTGTTACGGGAGAGAGGACTGTGGGGCCCTCCTATTGGCTCTCACCTGGACAAGTGGATGCTGGAGATGACAGAAGGTCCCTGTCGAATGAGGAAGAAGATGGTGCGAAATGACATGTTTTATATTCAGTATCCTTACATGCCGGATACTGAACATGAGACAAATATGCTGGTAAGTGCAGTTACAGGAGGGCAGTAGCTTTTAGCTGTAGCAATGCATTGGCTTATTTCTTGCAACATTGCCAGGAAGGTCCATCGCCGATTGTATAATGCATTTCTGGTGGTGCTCAGCTATGCGTTTAGGGATGGACACTGATTCCCCTTCAAGTGCATATCAGCAAATATTTGCACTAGCTCCCTGAACCATGCAGCCATGGGCGTTGTCTTTTTGCAGCCTCTAGATTCCTGTTGATTAATTTTCCAGTTGGAGGAGAGCAGAAGTAAAGTGTGCTGTGGCTTCGCTCTGCCCTAACAGGAAGGCCAGACTATACCACCTACAATGTACCAAGCCAGGTACAGCCCACCTACCATGGTGCTTCATATCCCCCTTTTATTTGCAATCCTAGGCAGGTAGCAAAAAAAAGCCCTGATGGGCTGCCCTACATGGATGATGGACTGCATTGAGCTTGGAGGGGATTGTACAGGCCTGTGCTAGTCTGATCAAAGATACCTGGGAAGTTAGAAAAAATGTAAATGCATGGTCAGGTAGGTGTGACTTGTACAAACGTGATGCTGCTGTTAAGGTGCATCTCTTAACAGCGTTCGGAACTCCCATTGTTCTGGGCGCATTTTGCGACAGGGAATTTCATTAGCGCAAACAGTTTCTGAGCTCCGGGTGGAGTACTGTGCCTAAGATTTCAGATTAAAACTGCAGAGTGGAAGGAAAGGAGGACCTTTTTCAGCCTCCCCACTTCCAGCTACTCTCTGAAGACTGGAAAAGAGACCCTCTTAAGAATATTAGGGGGTGGACAGGGGAAGGACTAGACCATGTGAAAAATGAACATAATATCTTAGCTGCAGTTCATTTTCAGCTTTGTATTCTTGTTATAAAAAAACACGTCTAGACATTCCATTGTTGCACCCATAACCTAGATTTAGGGTGCCATTTAGCTCCTAGCTTTCATATCTCAGTTTCTCACACTGTCTCTTCATAGTCCATCATATTTGAGTTTGTAGGCAAATGCAGATTCAAAGCAGCAGTGAGAGATGTTAATTAGATCCACTGATAATCAACAAGATTTTAATTGAATTGCTAAAATATTGCATATGCCTCTTGTGCAAGAACTTTGTGATTAAATTGAGCTTTACCTTGTGCTAGTTTTAGCAAATTTTAAGGTTCGAGCTTCTATGTTGTTATTTTTCCTGCTTTGCATTTCCTGGTGTGGAGAAAATTAGAAGTTCAGTCATTGGCTTTTTGCCCACTAATGCTCTGACAGTTTTAGTCGCATCATGCATTCTTCCTCAACATGATATTTCCCCTGATGTTTCTATACTTAATACCCTGTTTTCAGTCTGACTTCTCAAGTAAGCCTCCTGAGACATCTGACGATACCATTCCTCAAAAGGTAAAGAGAGAAAACTCTCCACGGGTGGCAAAACAGATAGAAACCTCTCTGTGCATGTTAGGCAACCTTAACAAGGCTTCTCTGGTTGGCTTTCAACGTGCTTCCTCAGTAACTCTGTCGTAGGGTTAATGATATACTAAGAGGATGTGGCTGTGTTCTCTTCAGTCTTCACCTAATACAATGTCTATGTAGCTCTTTCTGTCTGTGTTGCACACTAACAAGCTGTGATGGGCTGTGCTGTCACTATTCTCACTGTATAAACATGTACCAGCTCGAAATTAGAACTAATGGACTGTGATGTGTTTAGTGATGGGCAGTTTGGACATTCATGCACTTAGCCTAATCAGTATTTCAGGGCTGGCATAATGTTTTTGCACTGTTAAGACAATCTCACCTGTTCAGGGCACTGTGCTGGCAAAGCAGTTGACTCACCTTGACCCATACCTGTATTTGGGACCATTAATTGCTGCTTTCTGCCCCCTTGTTAACATAAACATTTTCTATGTGCTTCTAATGAGGAACATGGGATGTATGTCCTGGAATGCATCCCTTTCTGTTCACGAACAACTATACTGCATTCCACTGATATTTAATTCTCAAAATACGTTGCGAAGAAAGCTCCAACATTATATTGCCTTTGCAAATAGTCCTATCTAGGTCACACAAAAATAGAGATCAAAACATTTTTAAAAAATTTGCTCATCACTAAGTACAATATGCCTTCACTCATTTTGAATTACTTGTCAAACCAACATTTTGGAAGGTGATGCATTAATATATATTTTGGCTCTTGGTGGACTTGCTAAAAACGTGTCTGTTCTCTAGGTGGCTTATCTCTTATGTCCATAGGACTAGGTCAACAAATCTTCATCATATAAATGAACTCTTCTTTAAAAAACCCTCAAGCATAATTGGAGATTTTAGGGAGCATCTAGAGAAGAACTTTGGCTGAATTCTTAATCTTTTCCAGTAGGCTTCAGAATGAAGTGCAGTGCTTATTACCTTCCTAACCTTTTACAGGGGGTTTGCGATCTACATGTTAAGTGTAAAAAGGTAAAGGTAAAGGTACCCCTGCCCATACGGGCCAGTCTTGACAGACTCTAGGGTTGTGCGCCCATCTCACTCTATAGGCCGGGGGCCAGCGCTGTCCGAAGACACTTCCGGGTCACGTGGCCAGCGTGACAAGCTGCATCTGGCGAGCCAGAGCCGCACACGGAACGCCGTTTACCTTCCCGCTAGTAAGCGGTCCCTATTTATCTACTTGCACCCGGGGGTGCTTTCGAACTGCTAGGTTGGCAGGCGCTGGGACCGAGCAGCGGGAGCGCACCCCGCCGCGGGGATTCGAACCGCCGACCTTTCGATCGGCAAGCCCTAGGCGCTGAGGCTTTTACCCACAGCGCCACCCGCGTCCCTTTTCATGTTAAGTGTATTATTAACTAATTAATTCCAGGCATAAGTATTTGGACTTGAATACAACCATCAGTCTACATTATTAACATAGTTTCCTCTTTGTCCCCTGAATTTTCTTCAGAGAGTTGGGGGACAACTTTGGGAGTCATGCGAGGGGAGGACAATTTCCGTTGCACAAGCACAAATAAAACAACTTCATTGGATGTGTCCTAGTCTAATAATGTGTACATCATATACCTGTGGGGGGGAGCCTCCATCCCACAATCCTAATTTGGCCCACCAGACCTCTGAATTTGGCCCATGAGGCTTTTTGCGCAAACCACATCCACCTGTCAGTCACTTGACATCACGTGACCTCAGGTGTGGAGCTCTCTTATCTCCAATCTGAGCTTATTTTTATCTTAGTTCTGTCACATGCTTTGCCCCTTGTGCCTCTGCCTGCTCTTAGACAGGAAAAGGCATCAGGCAGAGGCTTGCCTTCAGTCTTAGTGCTGTGCTCCCAAGCTCTGAGATTGGAGATAAGAGAAATGCGGCTTGTTCTTTGACAGTAAAAGGCAGCATTTCCACCCACCCAAAAGAGTCTCCCTTTGCATTCCCAATTTGAATTCAAGGAATGAGAATGAGAATTTATTAGTTTCAGTCACAGACCAGTTCCAGCTCACATACAGTATCAGGGAAGTCATAAAACACGATAGGGATACATTTGAATTTGCCTTTGGGTATAACAGGGGCAATACAGATATAGCAGCAGTAAACAATATATAAGATATATCTTAATCACTAAAATATAACCTAAAATTGTCATTTAAGGCCTTGGTCATTATGGTAGCACAGCTTGTTCCCTAAGTTTTGTGGCACTCGCACAGAATTTGGCCACCCTTAGCATGATCTCAGGATCCTTGTCCTCTACCAGGGATTTTAGATGTTGAAGTTCGGACCCATTTGGAGATTTATGTATAGCAGGGATGATAAATGCCAAGCGTATATCCCCATAGAAACAACAGCGTAGCAAGGCATGAGAGACAGTTTCTACCTCCATCAAGCTACAGGGGCAGACTTGTTCCATGTATGGTTTACCCTCAAATCTGCCCTGCAATAAGGCAGGTGGCAGCCCGTTGAATCTAGCGAGGGTAAACAACCATCTGTATTTAGGTATTTGTAATTTTGACAGCTATTTTGCTGAGGTGAACCCTCTCTCATTATCTTTTATTGTTGGGTGTTTATTTATCTCGCTCACGTGACATTGCAGTTCCACACCCCAAATTCCATTGGCGGATTATTGCTCTAGCTTTCTCATAACCTACAGCTATCAAGGCTTGTGGGGTAACCCCAAGCCTTTTAGCTTTTTGTGCAGTGTAGTTTTCCATTTGGATTCGTAGGAATCCAGTAGGGTTACCAGAGCCAAGCCGAGAGGGGGGAAAACAAGTTTTAGCCAATAATGGATCTTCAGGGTCCGTATCCAAGCGCTGACAGGCATTTGCCTGAACTCAAATGAAGAGCAAGCGCAGCAAAGGAAAAACATAAAATTGACATGCTGGGGCTAATGCACCAACCTTATCAAAATGATCCACAGAGGGTGAGCCCGGCCCTCTGCCTGATCCACTTCTCTGTATTACCCATTATTGCTACTAAAATAAATGGAGGTTCGAGTCGATTCGCCCTACTTAGTTGGCATGTTAGTAATACTTGTTGCTTAGATCTCTGTAGAATTTGGCATGGGGTGATGTGATTTTTATGAATGCTGCCTCACTCGCAGTTCTTCACCACTCTAGCGTAATGATAAACGTTGGTTACTCAACAGTTGTGGGGTGGTAAGTGCTCTGAGCCCATGGAGAAGCAGTTGCATCACTGTTCTCTGCAGAAAGAAACTCCACAGATGTATTTCCCTAGTAATGAGAATGAAGAGAAGTGGGCTAAACTAGAAGTTTGGTAAAACTTTATAGCGTTCCAGAAAACATTCCTTCTTCTTTGATGAACTGTGAGTTCCTGTAAAACATGATTGGAGCTTTGGCAAAAATGCAAAATCCCCCCCTTCCCCCCCAAAAAAGATCAACTTTTACCATTGCACTCAACATTTAGTTTTGGTCGTGAGACCTTGGCCCTTAGGGAGCATGCAGCTGTGTTTGATTGCAGCCCAACAAATAGAAAAAGAAACATACATATATATTGTGTGAGCTAACACCAAACAGCACTTTGGTTCTTGAGCACCACATCCATATGAACAAATTACAATAGCTTTCCTGCCTCCCCCATTCTCTGCGCATAATCATAAAATCGTAGAATTGTAATATCATAATTAAAGTAATAGTGTGGGAGATAATAATAGGTCTAAATTAATCCCCGTCAGTTTCTCTACATCCTTGCACTTTGGCTAACATTTCAGTGTTTAAAGAAAATACCTGAATTGGCTGGGTGCAATATTGGAAATGATGAGATGCCAATTCTTTTGTGATGATTCACAAAGCACCGAACACATTTTGCTAACTTTTACGTTCATCAAGCAGCATTTAATTTTTGATCATCTTTCCAGCAACAATAGGTTCATTCCAAATCTAGCTGATTTGCCTATTGGGAACTTAATCAGTTTACAGTTGGCTGCCTCCAGCTACAACACTTAGCAGGTTCTGAACATAGATTTATATTTAGGGTATGTTTGAGTTGGTTTTGCCAAACGTTTTTATTCTATTGTTGTTTAAAGAAACCTGCGCGCTACCGAAGAGCTATAAGCTATGACAGCAAAGAATACTACATGCGCCTGGCTTCTGGAAACCCTGCTGTCTTTCAAGACACTGTCGAAGAGAGCTCTGAAGGAGAAACTGCTCAGCAGGAGCCAGAACATGGGGAAGATACTATTGCAAGAGTTAAAGGTGGGTATTTTTGCACATACCTCTGTATGCATAGGCACGCTTGACAATTTGAAGTTATTTGTGCTGTATTTCCCTATAGGAAATTATGCACAAGCAGCAAGCTGTTCTTGGGTGTGATGGCAGACATTCACAATTTTTACATTCATAGGTTATTTAGGACAAGGCAGAAGTCTTCAGCAGGCCCGACTTCTGCTGGTATGTGAATTGTGGCCATTGTAATACTTTAGTGGCCTCCGTAAATGTGTGAATCACCCCAAAGATGCTAAAACTGTTGCTTAAGAAAGATTCGAATCTGTCTTGTCTAGCAGTCCTTCCCTATCAGTAGGGAATTGGTCAACTTCCAGTCACTTTTGCATCTAGAATTTTTTGTTGTTGTAGGAAAAAAGATGCATAAAATTGCATTTAAATGTTTTAATTATATATATTTTTAATGCATTCCTCCAAAACATGCATTTTAAAACATATTTTGATAGTTTAGTGTGCTGAGAATTGTATTGCAGCGTTCAGAGGAATGCAAAACCTGAGGACACTTAAGTTCTGTTAGTGTATTTAGCCCAAGAGGTCACTTCATATTGACCAGGTCACTTCACATTGGAATTTGTAAAGATCAGATTCACTAATTATCCCTAAGTATCAGCGCAGTGTGTTTGTAAAAGTGGGGCATGCCTCCTTTGATTTCCCATTCCCATTGACTACATAGCATGTGAACAGCCTGTATGACCTAAACATGCATTAAGATTCTCAGTCCCCACCTCCAGGAGCTTGGGGGGTTATCCCGTTTTAGCCCCACAACAAACAATGAGAGTGTGTGACTTACCTGAGATCACCCACTGACCTTCATGCCTGAGCAAGGACCATGGATCCATCGACTGCCCTTGGCCTGCAAGTTCTCAGACTCAGCTGGTCCTGCATAAATTCTGCCAGTTTTTAGCTGTGGGATTTAGGATGGGCTTTGAACCTTAAGTAGAGTGAAACAGTTCTTTACTGGCATGGACTTGTTAATATGCAGCCATGTTCACGTACCACACAAAGTTCAGTGACTTACAGACAAATGTGCTGCTGGTTTGATTGCTTCATGCAGGTCTTGTTAAACCGCCACTGAAGAGATCTCGTTCCGCACCTGATGGTGGTGATGAGGAGAATCAGGAGCAGCTGCAGGATCAAATAGCTGAGAGCAGCTCTATAGATGAAGAGGAGAAAACCGATAACACAACTTTGCTTCGACTGCTCGAAGAAGGGGAGAAGGTATAAGCCAGCATTTAATGCTCTTTTTGGTCTCTCAGTTACTGAACCTAGTGAGCTGTTGTGTGGAGGCTTCTCGAATGTATTGTGCCTCTAGTCTCCGAAGCAGTTCATCCATCATTCAAAATGAACATGGCATAGAGGGGTTGTGGAGTACGCGTGTGTGATATCTCACAAAATGGCATGCATTGTATCCAACTAAGTTGTCTCGTTCACACAAGGACTTCCAACTTACGCAGTGGAATTCCCTCTCCTCTTGTCTTCTATCCTTGCCCCATGCCCCCCCCAAAAAAATCAGTTCTGGAGAAGGGAACCCTCAAAACAGATTGGGGGGGAGGGGAAGAGAGAGGGGAAGTTCCATTACGTAAGTGGAAGTCCTTGCATGAACATGCTGACCTGTTGGATACAACCCACAGTTTCCTAATTCAAACGCAGAATTGTTAATTACATGGTGACAGAGCCCCTCTGTGGATTTAACCTTCATTAAAGCACTTCTTTTTATACCTTTGATAAAAGAATGGTTCTTTTTTTCACCTGCCAAACACTTTTAAATTGGAACTCAACCTTAAAATTCAGTGAATTACTAGAGTACCTTTGTTCCATAAGTTTGCAGGAGCACGTTTAATTGTGGTTGGGAAACAGTTTTTATGAAACATTGACATAATAGGTTCTGAAGTGCTGTTGAGAATGCTCATAATGAATAGCCTTACCTTGGAAAATGTCTGTTGCTTTCAGTGATGAGTGTCCTCATTTAAAACAAATGTCATATTGTTGTTGGCATAGTTTAGAAACAGTACTCTTAAGAAAAATATACAAATTCAGCTTTGATATTGTAGGAACCTATTTTGGTTTTCTTGGAACAAAAATGCATCCACATAGAGAGAACTGGCCTATCTTTCCAAGGTGTGCAATACTGTAGCGCAGGTGTTTTGAATCTCAGGCCATTGAACTGGCCCTCAGAACTTTCTCCAGGCTGCACCCCTTCTGAGACCATGCTCTGCACCCTGTTCAAATGCTTTTTGATAAAGCTACCATGATGCCTCTTGCTTGCCTATCACAACCAGCTGCATAAATCTCACTCTATGGAAGGCAGTAGAATATTTCCTTAATGCTATGTGCTTTGCAGTTTTATTATTCTGAAGCATTATAAATAAGCATTATGTAATAGTTCTTTGTACAATTTCAAATCCTTATCTTCTGGCATGCGAAGGGGGAGGATCCAGTTTTGGATGCCAGAACATAGTTTGTATGAGTTTCAAATGCCTTTGACTGGCAGATGAAAACTTGGTATGCGCCGTAGAATCAACATGACAATGGCTGGGAAAGTTTTCACGTTGCCTCCTCTCGAATGTCAGATTATGCGTGGAATAAACAGACCTCTCGAGGTGATTTGCATTCATCCTCACTCAGTGTCATTGTGGCTTCCTAGTTTATAAGGACATGAAGGGCAGATCCCCAGGCACCACTGACGCAAGAAAATAACAACTGGGAAGTGTTGCTTGTACTGCAATAATCGCTTCCATTTTTTCATTCTGTCTTGGCTAGAAACAGGGCCCTCTCCTCCTATAATTAATCAAAAAGAACATTATAGGGCAGAGGTTATTTATATGCTGATGCTTGCATTTCAAAATTAAATCAATGGGTTGCTCTTTATATTTTTACCATTCCTATGCCCTTTTCCTTTATCATATCTGAGGAGCAGAAAGGGGAGGGATAAGTCACAATCTAGCCAGAATTAAACACATTCAAGTCCTGTTGATACTGCCTTATTTCATCCTCTTCAAGCATCTTATTTTCAGGTAGTCCCCATAACATGTTGCAGTTACAGTAGCTTAGCACTGATTTTCCTATGTTGGATTTTTATGCCTATCCATCTGTCAGATTCATGGATCCAAGGACAGGTTATTCAGGTCCATAGTATCGTGCAAAGCTTTCGACACAACCATTGCTCGACTATTCTCTTTTACATGAAACTCTGTTCGTCAAGACAAGGATCTCCAATTTCAACTATAGGACCAGATTAGTTTTCTTCAGGGTTGCCATACAAGCCTAACCTCCAAGAAGACACAACTGGCCTTAGTTTTATTTCATTCCATATAACTAGTTATCCCTCTTAAAGACTTCAAGTTTCCCTTGGACTAAATGGTCCTTTGAGGGCTCTGCTTTCTTCTCATTGAATCTTCTGTTGCAGTCATTTTTTATCAGATTGAGTTTTAAATGCTGCTTGTGAGTGTTGATATGGCCTGCAGGGTGATGCTGTGGTCTAAACCACTGAGCCTCTTGGGCTTGCTGATTGGAAGGTCGGCGGTTCGAATCCCTGCTCTGTCCCAGCTCCTGCCAACCTAGCAGTTTGAAAGCACACCAGCGCAAGTAGATAAATAGGTACTGCTGTGGCGGGAAGGTAAATGGCATTTCCGTGCACTCTGGATTCCGTCATGGTGTCCTGTTATGCCAGAAGCAATTTAGTCATGCTGGCCACATGACCCAGAAAGCTCTATTGGCCTGAAAGCGAGATGAGCGTCACAACCCCGTAGTTGCCTTTGACTGGATTTAACTGTCCAGGCGTCCTTTAGCTTTTATCTTACCAGGATAATTACTCTCCCCCCCCCCTCCTCCAAAGGGCCTATAAGCATAGTCATGTACATATCCTTATTTATTCATCATGTTTTCATTAAATATGTGCTTATGTTACAGATTCAACACATGTACCGCTGTGCTCGGGTTCAAGGCCTAGACACCAGTGAGGGGCTCCTCCTCTTTGGCAAAGAGCACTTTTATGTGATTGATGGCTATACCATGACCGCCACCAGAGAAATACGGGACATTGAAACCCTGTCTCTAAAGTGAGTTAGGCGTGACATTCTTTGAGATTGTAAGAGAGAGAGAAAATGTCTCCCTGTTAGAAAGGAGTACAGCATCAGGACTATAAGAAACCCTCCTGACTATAGCTCTTAAATGCATCTCCAAAAACAACACTGCACCTAAAATAGAAATATGCAAAATCTGTACGTGACTCTATAGTTATTGTATCATAGTTTTGACAATTCTCGTAATGGTTTATGAAGCCAAATATGACTATGGAATATGAGTGGGTGAAATCAGATTTGCTATGTATAGTCTTATATTTATAGTTTCTCTCCTACCTTTTACTCTCTACAGTATGCATGAGCCAATTATACCCAGAGGAGCCCGACAGGGTCCAAGTCAACTCAAAAGGACATGCAGTATTTTTGCATACGAGGATATTAAGGAAGTGCACAAAAGAAGATACCTGCTACAGGTATTGTTTCTAGTGGGGAACAGCAGGGTTTCGTAAATATTTTATTTATTTATTTATTTCATAATTTCATGAAACTTACACACTACTTGATTTTTTTAAAAAACAACAACAACCCCCAAAGTAATTTACAAGAAGAAAAAACAAGAAAATCAAGGAAAAAAATCACAAACATACTTTATAACATACAAAGGCTGAAATACTAAAACCTTTAAAAATTACCGTACCTTTCTAAGCATCTGGGTAGGCTTGTCTAAACCAGAATGTTTTTAGCAGGCCCCAAAAAGATTATAGTGACGGCACCTGCTTGATCTCAACAGGCCAGGAGTTCCAAAGTGTAGGTTTTGCCACACTAAACAATCAAGTTCTTACAAATGTAGAACAGGTATTATGTGGCACTTGTATTAGCGCCTGTTCCGCCAATCAAAGCAGTCAGGTGGGCACATGTACAGGAAGGCGATATCATAGGTAAACTGGTTCCAAGTTGTTAAGAGCTTTATATTTTATAGGCACTGGCGTCACCCTGCCACTTGCTTAAGGTGGGATAAAACCCTACACATAATATATATTGTAGTCTTTTTATTAAACATTTTAGTCTGGAAGCTTCAGTGCATTGTAAACCCTGACAAAGGGATTAGGGGTGATTTTTAAAGCACAGTTTGCAGGAGTAAGTTGACTTCATACCTAGGTAAAAAGGTCTGACTTAGGCTTCATGAAAGTCCACAGCAATTACTCTTCTGTGCTTTGACAACATTTTTAAAACCTGCCATTTCTTTGCAGCCAATTGCTGTTGAAGTATTCTCTGGAGATGGACGCAACTATCTTCTTGCTTTTCAGAAAGGAGTGAGAAATAAAGTCTACCAAAGGTATTTCCATTCATACTATTTATAAGAAGAGTACTTATAACAAGCGTATTGGCGAGGCAGCCATGGCAAAGGCTTGCCTCTTCAAAAGGGCTTGGGAGAATGTGATGTTTATGACCAATACCAATAGGGTCTATTAGGCTTGTGTGTTGAGCATGCTGTCCTATTGATATTAGGCAAGAATATTAATAGAGGAGAAAATTGTAGACATTTGACCACAAATGAGAAACAATTCCATATTGAGTTTTTATTGACCACGAGGAAATGTTAACATTTAACACTGCAATTATCCCCTGCCCTTCTGCTGCCCATTCATCCATTGTGGGAATTCCTCTTAACAGGGAGTGAGATGAAAATTACAAAGACAAGACAATTATTTCATCTCAACTTGCTCCCAATAATCCAGCCTGCCTTAGAAAGAGGGCAGCCAGCCAGTAGAGCTCAAGAATGCCAAGATCAACCAAGAAGTGAGCTCAGTAGGCAGAAAGGCATGTTGCATTTGCTGAAAATCTCAGACACCCCAGCGACACATGTAAGGGGGACACTACACAGCATGAATATAGGTGGGGTCTCCTCTGTCCTCTTATAGATCTTCAGTCTGGGATTTTACTAACCAGAGTAATTCAGTGCCACCTCCAGAACTAGACCACCTCTTTAGTCACCCTTGACTCGAGATCACAGGATCAATGCATATCTTTGAATGGACTCTACTGTTCAGTTCCCTTTGTGGACACCTGCAGAAACTGTTCATTCCTGCCTTATGCCTTCTAGTTTTATGAACAAAAGAGGATTTGCTTGCTATGTTTTCCAAGCAGCTGAGTGGACACATATTGGAGGGTAAAGTGATCCTTAAATAAACTGTTCCTAGCTATTAAGGGCTTTATGTGCTAACAGTAACACTTTGAATGCCTTCCTTCCTCTCCATCCCATCCCCACAAAAATCTCTTTTAGAACTGAGGTGTACTTTTCTTTTTACTGTTTTTTCATCTCAATGTATACTTTTAATAAAAATAGACACAGCAGCCTAATTAATTCATTAACAGTCTGGCAGTAGGCGCCACCTGAATCTTAATTGAAACACACTTTTGTTGATTACATTATCCTATTATTATTTTTAAGGTTTCTGGCTGTCGTTCCATCTTTAACTGACAGTTCAGAGTCTGTGTCTGGACAGCGACCCAACACCAGTGTGGAACAAGGGTGAGTGTCTGTGTTTTTTTAATTCCACACGATAGATTTGGAAGTGAAGGAATTTACAGTATTCGTTTTGACTGCTTTCTACTCATCCCGCTATTTTAAAAGTTGAACCTCCTGGTGACCTTCATTGTCTTTAATGTGTTTCCCAGTGTAAGTAGAGGAGATTTGGAGTATAAGAAAAAGCAGAAATGCAAATAAAATATTGTGAACAGCAATGCAAATAAAATAGCAAGGGGATTCTCTCTTGAAATTGACTGTACTCACACATCATAGTAAAGGTAAAGGGTAAAGGGACCCCTGACCATTAGGTCCAGTCGTGACTGACTCTGGGGTTGTGGCGCTCATCTCACTTTATTGGCCAAGGGAGCCAGCGTACAGCTTCCGGGTCATGTGGCCAGCATGACTAAGCCGCTTCTGGCGAACCAGAGCAGCGCACGGAAACGCCATTTACCTTCCCGCTGGAGCGGTACCTATTTATCTACTTGCACTTTGACGTGCTTTTGAACTGCTAGGTTGGCAGGACCAGGGACCGAACAACAGGAGCTCACCCCATCATGGGGATTCGAACCGCCAACCTTCCGATTGGCAAGTTCTAGGCTCTGTGGTTTAGCCCACAGCACCACCCGCGTCCCTCACACATCATAGTAAACCATAGCTAAAGGTTCATCATGAATATTTAGATGTCTCCCGCTTTGCTCCTCTCCTAGCCAGAGTAAGAGCTGCAAACCACAATCCCTGGCTTAGTATCATGTCAGAATCATGGGTCATGGTGGTTGGCTTGCTCCAAGCAAGCCTTGACTGGGAAACCAAAGCTTGTTCTTGATGCACTCAGACAGCTACACTACACGAGCTCCAACATCAAAGCATGTTAGACTGTTGGAGGTGACCGTTCCTTGTTGGCATGTTCATGACATTGATAGTGATCCATAGATACTAGGATGGTACAACTGTTGATTCTTTAACAGTTTAAAATCAGTTATAATTAATATGGTAGCATGGATTACGAGGAAAAAGTTGCTCCGTGTTACATGAAATTGCTAACATTGCTCTCATATACCACTGCTAAACGGCAAGAGTACTGACCCTTTCTGCTTCTCCTTAGGTCTGGCTTGCTGAGCACCCTAGTGGGGGAGAAATCTGTTACACAAAGGTGGGAGGTAAGTATAAAGAGTAGTTTAGTTTAACAACAACAACAACAATTTATTATTTATACCCTGCCCATCTGGCTGGGTTTCCCCAGCCACTCTGAGCAGCTCCCAATCGAATATTAAAAACACAATACAGCATTAAACATTAAAAACTTCCCTGAACAGGGCTGCCTTCAGATGCCTTCTAAAAGTCAGATAGTTGTTTATTTCCTTTACATCTGATGGGAGGGCCTTTCATATGGGGGGCGCCACTGCCAAGAAGGCCCTCTGCCTGGTTCCCTGTAACCTCACTTCTCACAGGGAGGGAAACACCAGAAGGCCCTCAGAGCTGGATCTCAGTGTCCAGGCTGAACGATGGGGGTGTATACTGGGCCGAGGCCATTTAGGGCTTCCTTTTCATAGTGGATTGAAATAGAATATTTGGACATGTAATATTGGGGCCAAAATGCTTTGTCACATTTAAGTTCCTGTATTTTATAAAGTGGTGGACAACCGAAACATTTTTGGTTTTGTTACTGGGAAATTAACATCAGTGCTGTTTTGTTTTGTTCTGTTTTGTGTGCTATCTCTACAAAGAGAGGTGAAATCAGTAATTTCCAGTATCTGATGCACCTAAACACTTTGGCTGGCCGATCCTACAATGACCTCATGCAGTATCCTGTTTTCCCGTGGATCCTTGCAGACTATGATTCAGAGGTAAACATAAAAATCTTACATTTCATAAAAGAAAAGCCTGTTCTTGGAAGCCTAAAACCCTGCACTTAAAAGTAACTCAGATTAGGGCTGGAAGCCTTGCTTCTTCAAACATTACTGTTTGGCAGAAATGACTGGCAGAATCCGACACCTGGGAGAAGAGCTAGTGGAAGAGGACTGGAAGAAATTTAAAGACTACTTGCAAAAGCATTGCAAATTGTATGAATGTTAGAATGATGCAGGATATAAAGACAATATGGTATTAGTGATATAGTTGAAAGGTGTATGTAAAAATGGTTTACAGAACAAAGGTGAAGTCAGAATAATATTATGTCAAACCTAAACAAAATGAAAAAATGGGGAAAAATTGGAGGCATAATAGTTGAAACGTATAATATGAAATAAGATTTGAAAGAAGGTGAGGTATTGCTGAATAAGATTCTGTAAAAGGGAACACAGAAAAGGGAGATGCGAGGGAGTCTGGAAAGAGGATTATGAGAACAATATCTAAGAAACTGGCTTTTTCTTTTTTATGTCTTTTTATGTCTTTTTTCTTTTGTTTTTTATGATGGGTTTTTTACTGTGTTTTTCTGTTTTTTGAATGGTGTTTTTTCTTCTTTCTTATTCTGTTTTGTGAAGTTTGTTTTGTTGTTTGAAACTTTAATAAATATCTTTAAAAAAAACAAACAAACATTACTGTTTGTTAACGAATCTGTGAAGCAAGTTGTGGTGTTTCAAGGCAGAGGCTTGTTGCAGTGATTTGTAGAGAATTAATAAAAGACATATCTGCACTTCAGATGAGAGACAGGGACAATTGTTTTAAATCAGGCCTGAGCAGCTAAATATTTAGAGTAGCTGCCAACATTTTTAGAAACCTCAATATATTGAATAGAAATCTCAATATATTGAATAGAGGAGCCAGAAATAGTTGCACGTGAATGTATTCAATTAGTCAGAGAAACAAATTTCTGAAGAATGGACTTTACTACTTGTTTGCTTTTAAAGGAATTGGATCTTACGAACCCAAAGACATTTAGAAACTTGGCCAAACCGATGGGAGCCCAGACTGACGAGAGGTTAGCTCAGTATAAGAAGCGCTACAAGGACTGGGAAGACCCTAATGGTAAGTGCAATAAAACATCTATCATCCACAATCCGAGATGGATGTAATGGAATAAACGGTACTGTGGCTTTTCCTTTAATCTGATTTTCTGAGGGCTGGAGATTCCGCCAGACACTGTCAGTTTTACCAGCTAAGAAGCTGAGGACAGGTTTATCGTTAGGAAATTTGGTATGATTCAGTTGAGCCCCTGTGCTAAATTAATATAATAATCGTATAAAATCCTGCTTGTCTCCATCAGTTCTTGGAAATGTTTCCGCTCATAAAAACATTCAAGAAATGATCAGTGAAGATGTCTCTAAACTTATTGTGTCTAATCTGAAGCATTTAATTCCAAAAAGAGTGTTATAAAATACTGTGTGTGACATTTTTTAAAAAAGAAATATGATTAGTTGAGCACTATAACAATGTAAGTGGCTATAGTGTCAAATTATAAGCATTGAAACAAATTTTAACTATACCAATTTTAGATGTACTTAGTGTCTTGGTAAAGGTAAAGGGAGCCCTGACCATTAGGGCCAGTCGTGGCCGACTCTGGGCAGGAGCAGGGACCGAGCAACGGGAGCTCACCCCATCACGGGGATTCAAACCACCGACCTTCTGATCGGCAAGTCCTAGGCTCTGTGGTTTAACCCACAGCGCCACCCGCGTCCCTTAGTGTCTTGGTACTAGCAAGCTAATACTAACTAAGCCTAGTAATTTAACACAGACTTCCTCATTTCCTTCCTATTTCCTTTTCCTGTTATTTATTCCCCCCTCCCCCATTTTCTTTCAGGTGAAACTCCAGCTTATCATTACGGCACCCATTATTCATCAGCAATGATAGTAGCCTCATATCTTGTGCGAATGGAACCCTTTACACAGATATTCTTAAGGCTACAGGTAAGCTATTTACTTCTGCCATTTGCTTCCAAGGTGTAACGAGCAGTGTAGGGAACGCCTTAATGGCCGTGCAAATGCTCCTCTTTTTCCTTCCTCAGGGCGGCCACTTTGACTTGGCTGACAGAATGTTCCACAGCGTCCGTGAAGCCTGGTATTCTGCATCTAAGCACAATATGGCAGATGTCAAGGAGCTTATCCCGGAATTCTTCTACCTCCCAGAGTTGCTACTCAATTCCAACAACTTTGATCTAGGTGAGAAAAGCCACTTTTGATAGCATGGCTGTATTTCTTTCTTACAGAGACACCGTCAAAAGATGAACATAAAGCGGATTTTGATGTGCATTAAATAAAGATAAGAGCAGTGTATGTTTTCGTCTTAATTTCGGAGACTGGTCATTTTAAACTGCTCATTTGCGCTGTGGAGCTCATTCAGGTGTCCTGTTAAACTTTCTCAGGAAGCACACTTCATTGTGGAAAAACCCTCTTTATCCTTGTTTTCACCTTGTAGGTTGCAAGCAGAATGGCACTAAACTTGGGGATGTAATACTCCCCCCATGGGCTAAAGGGGATCCCCGCGAATTCATCAGAGTGCATCGGGAGGTAATGTATGTTCTTGTTAGAAACTACAATACCTTTTTGGACTCCCATCCGAATCTTGCTATTCTGTTTGGAAGAAAGCATTTTTGGCTGATAGTTTTGCTCTTTATATCTTTTGTACATGTTGAGCACACTGGGATTATCAAACATGTCGGTTGGCGTAGTGAGTCCAGTTGATAAGTTCTCACCTTCCTTTGTATTAGAACTCTGTAATGAAGTTTTGTTTTTGTTTTTTAATAAAAAAGTTGCAATGTTTTTAGAGCAGGCTATAAATTGAAGGAAAATAAGTAAAGCAGTTTTAAAAAAGAAACTTGGTCATGGTGTTGGCTAACACCGCCATCTGTTTCAGCAAGCAAGCCTTTGCCCACCTGTAAGCAGGTTGTGCTCCATTTAACATGCACATTTTGAATTGCAGGCTTTGGAATGCGATTTTGTGAGTTCCCACCTGCACGAGTGGATAGACTTGATATTTGGCTACAAACAGCAAGGGCCGCCTGCAGTAGAAGCTGTAAATGTTTTCCATCATCTCTTCTATGAGGGCCAAGTGGACATATACAACATAAACGATCCATTAAAAGAAACGGCTACTATAGGATTCATTAACAACTTTGGACAGATACCGAAACAGGTAATGAATGATATTTGAGTAAGGTGCATCTGTGGTTCAAGACAAAGTTGGTATATTCTATTCTATTTGCTTTGTCCTTTCGGAGATTTAATTCCTTCTGTTCAAGACTTGAAGACCCTTGGCCCTTTGGGGGAGGATGGAGCAATCAGGAGTTTGAATCTCATTTCCATGGGCTTTATTCTTGTTTTAAAAGGCAAGTCGCTGTTGCTTTGATTTCATAGTAAAAGTAAAAGCTGGTCACTCAAATGTAATGTATTTGAATGACAATCCTTGGTATCAGTCTGGGACAGGGTGTGGGCCTTCAGTGGATGCCATCTTTGTAATATTCCATATTAATGTCACCACACGACAGCATGACCCAAATGGGGATGCTCTGGATGGTCTTGGAGTGACTCCAAGAATAAACAAATATGTCCATCCTCAGTATGTTGGCGTGATCTTGTTTCACAGAGAAGCAAGCATACAGGTTTAGACACATAGCAGTGAATATACTCATGTTTGAATGGGATCTGGGTAGACCTTAAGCAAAGGAGGAAGGTCTTCTGTGCAAGGAAGATCTTCTGTGCAAGGCCCATTTAAACAAATGCAAAATATGCAAAATCTTGATGCCCAATGGATTGTGCCCTTGATGCTTTCCAGAAGTAAAATGTAATTTCCAGATGTAAAATATAAATATATGGAGTCCCAAGGCCTTGCACAGATTTTGACAAAGAACAAACAGCCACACAGCCAAAACATAAAGTGACGAACATTTTCTCCAAAATTAAAATTAAAATTACTTGCTTAGGGTTTCGTTTATGGGATCCCACATAGCTCTCAGCATCGAAGCTGGTAGTCAAAATGAAAATCCTAAAAACCTGAAACATAATAGTACTAAGACAGAACTGGATTAAAATTAACTTCTTCTGTCTCTTCAATACCTGCATATTAAAAATAAAGATACTTTTTACTACTACCTTACTACCAGCTGACCTGTCCCTTCATCATGGAGAACATTCCACTGCTAAAACGTCCCTCACTAACAATGAAATTATGTGAACAGTTAGATTTAAAAGGAGTGTTTTAAAATGTTATTAAATGTTTAGGATGAAACCTGCCAAATCTTAATAATTCTCTGTTTATGATTGCCACTTATCTGCTAAGGTTGACAGTATTTACACTAGCATCCTGTTTTGATAAACACCAGCATTCCATCTGCCCCTCTGACGGTCCCTTTAAAAGCACCCCGTGGTTGCTTAACATGGCTTTGAGTGCATATCAGGAGTGGCGAATACTGGTATTTCACTGACTCATCGTCACATGGTGGGCCGAGGCAACTGAAAACAGCTTGTGTGTTTCCTGTGACTGTGAAATCCATCTCTGTTAGGGAATTTATTTGCAACAAGTCTCATGGATGGTGCTGACATGTTTTGAGAGGTGTTGCTGCAAATTATTTGCAGGCCTGCTGCTAAGCCTGTAATGTTTTCTGTCTTGCTGCAGTTGTTTAAGAAACCTCACCCTCCAAAGCGAGTGAGAAGCCGAATTAATGGAGAAATAAGTGGGGTTTCTATCCCACCAGGTATTGCCAGTGGCAAGATTTTTTTCCATCATTTAGACAACCTGAGGCCTTCTCTTGCACCAGTAAAAGGTAAATGCTGCAATCAGTTTACTTTTGATTTTTTTTTTTAGAACTACGCTCATAGTTCCAGGCATTTTTATTAAAACATATACTGTTGTTTACCCCAGAAGAAAAAGACTTCCAAGGCCGTCTATATCGATTAAAATGTTTGTTTTTTAAATCTATTAAAAATGTGAAGCGTCCTTCATTGCATCTACCATATTTTTCGCTCTATAAGACGCACCAGACCACAAGATGCACCTAGTTTTTGGAGGAGGAAAACAAGAAAAAAATATTCTGAATCTCAGAAGCCAGAACAGCAAGAGGGATCGCTGCGCAGTGAAAGCAGCGATCCCTCTTGCTATTCTGGCTTCTGTGATAGCTGTGCAGCCTGCATTCGCTCCATAAGACGCACACACATTCCCCCTTACTTTTTAGGAGGGGAAAATGAGTCTTACAGAGCAAAAAATACGGTATGTTATGGCATGAGCAGAACAGAATATGCCAAAAATTCAGTGCACTAGAAACAACAGAACATGTCATGGCAGGTGAAGAAACGAGTGAAAACAAACCAAGCAATATATATATATATGAAGCCAATCTTTAAACTAGAGAGCGTTTTAAACAAGCTGATATTAAAATAAAGAAAACAAAACAAAGGCCAACGTGCCTCAAAGATTTCACTTGATGTGGGATCAGGATTGTCAATGGCATCTGTGCATTAGACACCTTGTTTGAACAGGGCTTGTGCTCACAGAGTGAAATGTGTAAGCACAACCCACAAATCCTGATCCTTCGGAGTTGTGAAGAGAGGATAGTCGGCACAGATCCGGATTACATGTTGGACTCTATTTGCATAGAGGCCTATATGACTGTGGTGTCCAGTGCCTGCACCTTGGGTGGCAAAGGCCACGCTAATCCCCCCACCCCACCCCACAATAACCTCTCTTTGCAGTTAAGGCTGTGTTGGGATGGGGATGGCTCTAAGGGAACATTGCCTAGAAACTGGTTTTAATCATCTCTGGAGACGGTAAGTGTGTGCACTAGCGACAACTCAGAGAGTTGTCCAGGCTGCAACCCCAAGTTAATTTCCATGCTTCCTGACTTCGCTGGAAATTATGAGAGCACAAAAGAGCCTTCTGGACTGGGAGCTGGCCTTACATTGTGCCTGCACAACAGATCTTCCCTTAGGCTTTGTGCTGTTCAGATTTGCCCTGCTTCTAGCACACTGAACCATGAACAAGATTCATGTTGCTAGACTGCTAGAGGACTGAAAAGAAGTCTTCTTACAATGGAATGGTTGTGTTTGAATTTATACAAAGTTATTTTGATACTCGCCAGCCACTTTTCTCACTGCTCGGCTGAAACGTAAGACTGATTTGAGCATTAACGAATTCCTGGAGCGTTCTCAGTAGCTCTATGCCCTTGAAAGTCTCTTATCCAGTTTCTTACACTTCTGTGTCATGGGAGTTGATAAGAATTTAACATCACTGGTCACTGTTTAAATTCTTTCAGAGCTTTCAGTAGTGTAAGCAGGTTTCTCAGAAAGATAACAAAGTTCTCGTGAAATATCCTCACTTTCTACTGTGATTGGGTATAGCTTTCACCTAATCTTGGAACAGTGAATGTTTTTATGAGCTCTTGTTTGTGAGTGCTGCTATCTTTTCTTTCTCGCTTTTCTTTCTCTCTTTGAGCAGAGCTCAAGGAGCGTGTAGGACAGATCGTGTACACGGACAAAGGAATTTTAGCAGTGGAGCAGAATAAAGTGCTAATTCCGCCAGCCTGGAATAAAACCTTTGCTTGGGGTTATGCAGATCTCAGCTGCAGGCTGGGAACCTATGAGTCAGACAAGGTTTGTCTCTCAGATTTTTGTGGCTCTTTAACTTGCATGCTTGATGATGGAAAACAATGACTGATCAAGCTGCCTCAGGCAGGTGTCTTAACTGTACCCTTTTAGAAACCTGCTGAACACATTTTTGTTCAGACAAGCCTATCCAGGTACTTAGAAAGTTGATGCAGGTTTTAGTCTGTTGTTAGTTAATATTTTTTTAAAATCATTGCTGTTAATTTTTATTGATAATTTTATTGTTTTATCTTTTTTAAAAAACTGCTTTGTTGGTTTTTAACACTCAAGCGGTGCATTTTGTGAAAGTTTGTAACATAAATAAATAAATCCAGTATCTAAGCAGGCTGTGGGGCAAGTTAACACTTGGCAGAAAGTTGTTTCTTATGAAATCTGTCTGTTAAATGTACATATGTTTTAATTAACAAGTATAATTTGCATGAGCACCATCCTTTGGTGCAGGATGGGCTATGGTAATGACTTTAAGATTGGCCAAAATACAGAGTGAATTATGCTCCGGGGGTAGAGGATTCCAGGCTTTCTTCTCCTATTACTTGTATCCTTTCCACACTTCCCTTGCTTTGCCCCTCCCCATGAAACCAAGGAGCTGGCTCCTGAACGCAGCTTCCGAACCCAGCTCTTTGGTTGTGGATGGGAGTATTAGAAATCCATTGCCTCTCCCCTGCAACTGCCTTTGGAAGTGTGAGCTGGTTTTCTCCCAGGATGCAAGATTGGGTGGAAGGAAATGTATCTTCCCCAGCCAACCAACACAGGGATAGGATGCCGGAAACTGGCCACGGTTTGTAAATTGATGGATGCGCTGTTTTACTTTTCCACCTTTCTAGGCCGTGATCGTTTATGAATGCTTATCGGAATGGGGACAGGTTCTCAGTGCCATCTGTCCAAATCCCAAGCTGGTCATCACCGGAGGAACCAGCACAGTTGTTTGTGTATGGGAGATGGGCACCTCCAAGGAAAAAGCCAGAACGCTCACTCTTAAGCAGGTAAATCTGGATTTCTGTCTCAGAAAACTGGGCCCAAGCATAGCTCATCGGTACTGATTAAATCCGGCAAGTTGGGAGTGAACTAAGTCAGAAGGTTTTGCCCTCCTCAACTGTTGGCACATGGATAGATCACCAAAAGTTGTTGATGTTGTTTTCTGGGGAAAGGAAGAAATTCACTGTGGATTCTGTCAGAGCTCTGAACAAAATCTGCTTATTACCCTGCACAACCGTAGCCTTATGTCCATGTGACTGCACGGACAATTTACTAAAACCATTGAAATGCACCCCTGCTCTATGTCCTGCCACTGTCTTTTGTCCCCATAGGGGTCTGCCTATATAAGCAAAGGGTGAGCAAAAGGCAAGGAAGGGGCTGAGAATTTGTTCTTGTTGTCAGCTAATTCTCCCCTGGTCTCCTCGCTGGCCCAAATAGGACTAATTTAGCCAGCTAGCCCTGGTGATCATCTAATGTTTATTGGATGGATTCCCCCCCTAAATTGATGAGTTCTGAATTTATTGTTTTATACTGTATTTTATGCTGTTTTTTGTTGCATCAATTAAGTGTTTTAAATTTGTTGTTAGCTGCCCAGACCCCGGTTTTCTGAACCGGGAAGGGCGGGGTATAAATAATTTATTTTTATTATTATTCTTTGATTAGGCACAGTTCACCAGTGCTATCGCAGAGTCTCCATTCATTTCAACGAGGCTCGCATGGGAAATGGCTACAAAACCCACTTAAGTGGTTTGAGGTTATTCAGCAAGAAACCACACTATTCAGTTTCCGTAGCATTGTGTTTCTTAGATTTTAATTTGTCTTCTGCAACCTAGTAATAGTGTCAAACTCCCACATTTTCCCTTTCTCTGAAGGAAAACTATTCCAATATCTGTATTTGCAGCACTTTGCGGCAAATGCTTTATGTATTTTCCTCTGTCTTCCTCTGCTTTTAGGCGCTGCTCGGCCACACCGAGGCAGTCACGTGTTTGACCGCCTCTCTGGCCTATCACATCATTGTGAGCGGGTCTCGGGACCGCACCTGCATCATCTGGGATTTGAACAAGCTCTCCTTTTTAACGCAGCTTCGTGGCCACCGGGCCCCCGTTTCAGCCCTCTGCATCAACGAACTGACGGTACAGATCAGAACATCGACTGCTTCTCTTAGAAGAGAGACAAATGTAGAAAATCACTCTTGAGCTGGTTGTGCCCATTTCAGCTCCAGATTGCATATGTCCCCTATTTAGTGACGTTTTTCAAGTTATTAAATGAAAACATCATGGAGCCCCTTTTGGGGTTTCAACTGTATGATTTATTGCAGACAGAAAGCAGCTTGCTGGGTACTTAGAAAAACTTCTTATGGGGGGGGGGTCAACCAGAGATTCCCTTCTCTTCTTCCAAAACCATTGTTTATCATATTTTCACCTGACCATCATGTTGGCCCAGTAACTAGGCAAGTTGACTCTGGAGTAGGGGGAGACCTATCATAAATTTTTGGCACCCTCACTAGAAGAGCAGGCATGGCAGAGTACCAGAGATCCTACAATACTGCATTGGCCTTTAAGCTGCTTCCTTGTGGCTTCATTCTGCTGTAATAATGGAAAGCATGTCAGCATGTAGGCTTGTTATGGTCTTTCCCGAATGATGGCAGTTGGGTTGAAAGGAGCCGTGGTCTTGACCCCACCCACATGATACCAGTTGCTATTGCAGGGACATTGTTTGTGTACCACAGCAGTAGCATATTACGGGGCCTTCAATTTGTCTTTAACTAGATTGCAGCCTCTTATCTATGTAGATCAGTTCCTGAGGGGGTCAGTTTCAAGTCATCGGTTCTTGGAGTTTCCAGCCAGACCACGCCTTTGTTCTTCATATTAAATCGAGATGCGTTTCTCCTCCGGGATGGCAAAGAATGGCAACGTTGAGATCTAAGTGTGCCTAAAACATTTATCCTTTTCTCCAGGGAGACATTGTGTCTTGCGCTGGCACTTACATCCACGTGTGGAGCATTAATGGGAACCCCATAGTGAGCGTGAACACTTTCACCGGGCGCAGCCAGCAAATCCTGTGCTGTTGTATGTCAGAAATGAACGAATGGGATACCCAGAACGTGATTGTGACAGGGCATTCAGATGGAGTGGTCCGAGTAAGTACCAGCAGTCGTGTAGAAATAAAACTGCGGTTCGGCAGCATGCCTCGTGGTGCAGAGGAAGTTGATAGAGAAGATTTTTCCCCCCTCCTTTGTTCATAATATGAGAACCTGGCTCTTCCAGTGAAGCTGAATGCTGAGAGTTTCAGAGGAAAGGGAGTGGGGCAGCACTGAAACTCATGAATCTGAAGTCTAAAGGGGATTTAGACAGATTCACGGACAATAAGGCCATCAGTGGTTACTAGGTGCGATCGCCATATACTCTACATCTAAAATTGCTAATTGGGAGAGGGCTGTTGCACTCCTGTCCTCTTTGTGGGCTTCCCATAGCCATCTATTGTGGGAAACAGGATGACAGGACTTATATAGGATTTCCAGGTTCATTCCTAAGTGTAGCTCCTATCTATTCAGAATTCTTCAATGGCATATTCATTTACTCATATACTTAAGCAGTTGAATAGCCTAGTTCTATTATAATTTAAATGTGCCTTGATTTTTGTGTCTCCTTGAGTGCTTTCAATGTTACTTTGCTCCATGTCTCATTATCGTATCAGGTTGAAAGTCAGGTTATACGGCAAGGGATGTATGCATTCAGACTCACACTTTCGTCTCTCCTCCTCCTAGTTCTGGCGAATGGAGTTTCTGCAGGTCCCGGAAACTCCAGCTCCTGAACCTGTGGAGGCGCTCGAGATGCAGGAAGAGTGTCCGGAAACCCAAATAGGTGCTGTTTCTTTTTGGCTTTGTGTTCAGCTTTGAATTGTTCAAGGTGTAGCTCAGGAGTCGGAAACCTTTGCTTCTCCAGTTATAGTTGGGGCTATACTTTTATTTATTTATTTCATACATTTATATACCATTCGATTGCTTTAAAATAAATAAATCTCAAAACGGCGAATGAAAAGAGTAAAACAATAACATTATTAGTTTTTAATAACTTATTTTTAACTCCCACCATCCCTGATCATTTTCTTTCCTGGCCTGGCGTCTGACAGTATCGGGGAGCACCACTTTGGCTGCCCCCTAGCATGGATGTCATACCGTATTTTTTGCTCCATAAGACGCAACCGACCATAAGACGCACCCAACCATAAGACGCAACTAGTTTTTAGAGAGGGAATGCAAGAAAAAAAAAATTCTTTAAAGGGAGCGCTGAGCAGAGCCTGTATGCATCCCCGGCTCTGCTCAGCGCTCCCTTTCGCAAGGCGCGAGGATTGTGTGTGCGGCGCTTGCAGGCTTTTACCCAAGAGCCGCACACACGCTCCGCAAGGCTCTTTAAAGGGAGCGCGGCTATTCCTGGCTTTTGCGGGAGGTGGAGGAAGGGACAGAGCCGCGCGCTCTGTCCCTTTCCCCACCTCCCGCAAAAGCCAGGGATAGCCATGCGAAGCCTCTGCAGGGCAGCGGGATGAAGGCTCCCAGTGCCCTGCGGAGGCTTCACGCGGCCAAGCCAGAAGCTAGAACAACAAGAGGGAGTGTGGCGCAGCGCTCCCTCTAGCTGTTCTGGCTTCTGGGATAGCCCGCGAATCCTGCATTCGCTCCAATAAGACGCACACACATTTCCCCTTACTTTTTAGGAGCGAAAAGGTGCGTCTTATAGAATGAAACATACGGTAATAATGTCCCTAATAGGCTTTGTATGAATCTGGACCTAGGTTTTATGTCAGAGTTATGGAGGAGCAGGTCTAGTGAGGGAAAGCGAATCATGGCTTGGGGTTTTGTTTTTTTTTTAACGCATTGCATGTAACAGGAGAGGAAGCCCCGGATGAGGACAGCAGCGATTCGGAAGCAGAAGACCAGGGCCTTGGCCAGGACCCGAAGTTGCAGGAAAGCCGGAGCCAGCCAGGCAGCGCCAGCCACAGGCCTCGCTCGTCCTCAGCCCGAGCAGCAGCTGCGTGGTCGGCAGACAGCAGCTCTGACGACTCGAGGCGCTGGTCCGACCAGCTCAGCTTGGATGAGAAGGATGGCTTCATCTTCGTGAACTACTCCGAGGGGCAAGCGAAAGTCCACCCCCAGGTTCAAGCTAACCACCCACACCCTAATCCAGGGGAACTACGACATTACAGCAAGCTCAAGCCAGGTAGGGAAACGCCTCTTGGCAACATGCCAAAGTAGAAGTGTGTTGCCTGGGCAGGTTTCCGGGTGCCCAGATAAATCCTGTACTCTCTGGGGCAAGTGGACCCAGATCCTGAACTGCATTTTCCTTCCTGAGCAGGCACCATGCAGATGTGTTTCCCACCCTCCACATCTGCTTACATTGTTACCCGTTTTCCTTTCTTAGGCTACAGATGGGAGCGGCAGCTAGTGTTCAGGAGCAAACTAACTATGCACACGGCCTTTGATCGCAAGGACAACGCACATCCTGCAGACATCACAGCACTGGGCATCTCCAAGTGAGTGACCTGCTTCCTGTGTGTCCCCAGTATATCAGCTGAAGGCACAGTAGTGGTTTCAGCTTTAGATCGGCTAGAACAAAACAAACAACTTTGGAACTGAAAATTGCTTTGAAATGGTTAGACCGGGCATCCCCAAACTCAGCCCTCCAGCTGTTTGGGAACTACAATTCCCATCATCCCTGACCACTGGTCCGGTTAGCTAGGGATGATGGGAGTTGTAGTCCCAAAACAACTGGAGGGCTGAGTTTGGGGATGCCTGGGTTAGACATACAGTGGTGCCTCGCAAAACAAAATTAATTCGTTCCGTGAGTTTTGTCGTCTTGCGATTTTTTTCGTCTTGCGAAGCACGGTGTTGGGAAAGTTTTGGAAAAGCTTCAAAAATCACCACAAAGTCTTTGAAAACCTCAAAAAAGGCTACCACACCGCGTGCTATGAGTTGCTCCTCGAAGTCAAGTCGCAACTGTATTAACAGTGTTAAGAAAAAGGAAACAAACTTGCAAGACGTTTCCGTCTTGCGAAGCAAGCCCATAGGGAAAATCGTCTTGCGAAGCAGCTCAAAAAACCCTTTCGTCTAGCGAGTTTTTTGTCTTGCGAGGCATTCGTCTTGCGAGGTACCACTGTACAGGAGATGCAACTACATTGGTACCTCTGGTTACATACTCTTCAGGTTACAGACTCCGCTAACCCAGAAATAGTACCTCGGGTTAAGAACTTTGCTTCAGGATGAGAACAGAAATCGTGCTCCGGTGGTGCGGCGGCAGCAGGAGGCCCCATTAGCTAAAGTGGTGCTTCAGGTTAAGAACAGTTTCAGGTCAAGAACGGACCTCCGGAACGAATAAAGTACTTAACCCGAGGTACCACTGTATAAGCCATGATAGCTAGGTAAAGCTACTGTGTTCAGAGTTACCCTTCATCAGAGTATCAGGTGCCATGAACACATTGAGGCCTTTAATGAAATGCTTTGGGCATTCTTATTCTTCTTTACAATTTTTGTATTTTTTTTGGTTACCATTCTGACACTCCCCCCCCCTCTCTTTTTTCTCATTTGTCTTTGGTGCTCCCCTACCTTTTTTCAAAGTTGGGAGAAAGTAAGTCTGACCTGGTAGACCTTACTTTGATTCAGCAATTCGCGGGGGGGGGGGCAGGATGTGGAGCAAAGCTGCTACCTTTGGCCTAGTATTCTCTGGCTTTAAAAATGTGTTTCTCTCTAGCCTTGAGGCTACTTCCTAATGCTTAAATCAAGTGCTTATCCGTTTCTCTTTTCAGGGATCACAGCAGGATTCTCGTAGGCGACAGCAGAGGCAGAGTGTTCAGCTGGTCAGTGAGTGACCAGCCCGGCCGCTCTGCAGCTGACCACTGGGTGAAAGATGAGGGAGGAGACTGTTGTTCCAGCTGCTCCGTCCGTTTCTCTCTTACTGAAAGGCGTCACCATTGCAGAAACTGCGGGCAGCTCTTCTGTCAGAAGTAAGAAAGATGGTCTCTCCTGTAAATTCTTTATGGACTGGTTCTCACAAAAGAAGTGCTAGCATCTGGAGAGCTGCTTCTTTTTAATTTTGTATTCTTTATTGAAAAATAAAAAGTACAGAATTACAAGTGCACAGAATAAGATAAGACACAAAAAAGAAGGAACAAGAAATAGTACCCATGTAGAAAACAAAACAGAAAAAAGATATTGTGCACATTACAAAAAAGGAGAAAAACTTTATTGTAGTTAACCAGACCTTAATTTATTTTTAAAAATGAATTCCAAATATCATTAAACTTGCCCCTGGCAAGTCTACGTTTGTACGCAACTTGTCTGAAGAGCTGCTTCTTGATAACAACAGGCACCCTATTTATTTCACTAGCAAATCTGATACCCCCACCAAAAATAAATAAATTCTCTTACTCTAGATAAGTTGGTGCTATATTATTTTGAGAAAGGTAGGATAGAGCTCATTAATTGGCCTAGAGCGGAAATTAAACCCACAATAGCGTACGTGGAATACCCTGTTTCCAGGAGCTCCTGTAAACATTAGTGCTGGTTCTCAGAACAGCCGATCCTTTATAAGCCCATTGCCGGCCACTTTAACACTAGTTACCCCGGAAATTCCATTTCTGTTTCAGTAGTACTGTCACTATGCCATGACCCCTTGGATTCCGTTGATCGATTGCTGGTTTTTCCCTTGCTCAAGATGACCGGGTGCCCCAAGAACACCCCTGCCCTTAGAGCAAGGTTCTTCTAACAGCAGAACCATGTGATTCTGAGCAAAAATGCAGGAGGGAAACAGTCTACCTCCCACAATTCTTTGCTCCTGCCCGAGTCTCGTGTAAGAGAAATAGCCCAGTCCGAAGGCTTCATCATCCACCGTAATAAACTGCGGGTGCAGAGAGAAATAACAACTCACATTTTTGTGTGCCTCCCCCCCCCCCCGCCAGGTGCAGCCGCTTCCAGTCGGAAATCAAGCGTTTGAAAATCTCCTCCCCGGTGCGGGTTTGCCAGAACTGTTACTACAACCTTCAGCACGAGCGAGGCCCGGAGGAGGGATCCTGGAATTAACAAGGCAGAGGCAAGCCACACAAAACGCCAGGCTGCGCACTGCAGGGCCCACAGGAACTTGGTCAATTTAATTCATTGCAGGAAGGAACACGCAGCACATCTAGAAAGGATTGCAACGCTAGCCCTGGACACTTCGTCTTTGTACTGCGCAGCAAAGCACTTGCGAGCAAAAGGGATCATTCATTTTCCATGCACATTTTCAGAGAAGGGGCTGAAAGCGTTCATGGGGCCGGCGAGTGTCAGGCGGAGAGACGAGCAGTTGCCGCAACTGCAGCGAGGACCCACAAGACCCAGCCTTCCCCGCTAACGTGGCTGGGAAGGAAAACCCATCATTAACCACCCCTTGTTCTGTCTTTGGTTTTGTAGAGCTAGTCACCTTATTTGTGTTGCGGGAAGGAGAAGGCTTTTTAGAAGATAGTTGTAAATCTGCCTTCTTCGCAAGCAAACTGTGGATATTGTAAATAGATATAATGGCCTTTTTATTGAAATATGAACTTAACTGCCTGTTACATGGGACATCAGACCAACCACTATACCTTGTGTCTCATTTTTAGCTCATCCATCTACTTAAATATGAATGTGGGTTGTTTTTTTTTAAAAAAAGCATTGAGGCATTATCTGTATTTTATTTTCAAAACCCGGGCTGCATGTTTGTTCTTTGGTTACTCGCAATATCTTAACTTTAAACCAGGTCATTCAGAGAGTTTTGAAAGGCGGGGCGAACCACCCTCAACTTGTCTGCGGCAATAGGACTTAGAATCTTTCATTCTCAACTGTAAGATAAGGACCCTCTTTTTGTTTCATTTTTTGAAAAAATACAGAAGATAGCGCCTATCTTCATATTTAATATGGTCTCTTTTTATACAATGTGGACCTTGGCTTGTGCTCATTCTTTGCAGTTTCTGGATCAGCTGGTTCCTACAACAGTAAAGGCCAGACCTTACTTTGGACAGTAGTAAATGCCTTGCATGAAACTCAGAATTGCCCTACCCCGGAGAAAAAAAATAACAGACTTGGGACCCTTGCTGTTATAACTGGATGCTAATACCAATATATTGAGGGGGATTCTCCTGCACAGAGCCTATTGAAGTGAATGGGAGTTGCACAAGAACAATTGCCCACCTTTTATTCCCCTTAACTGGGCTTTTCTCCTGGGGTTGTCTTGAACTCATTATAATTATTTTTTAGGCTGACTTTATCTTTCATTGGCGTACCATCAACTTGGGGGATGTTACTCAAACTTTCATTGAAGAAGGGCATTTCATACATTAGTGGTTTAAGACCTTATGTTTCTCACTTCTTTCTTGGGTCGCTTTTTCTCCAGTCCATCTTGTCTGTAGAGATGGGGGAATACACAGATCAGGCGCAATCCATGGGCATCCTTTTTGGAACATGGCCTTGGAAAGTGGTGGTTTGTTTTTATTTTATTGTGCTGTTTGTTTTCGTTTCACTGTAACGTATACCATGTTGTAAACAGGTGATGAGATGAATTGGCCTTGTTCAGTTTCCCAGATCACCGCTGCTGTTTCGCAGCCGATGAGTTGACGGTCACGTTAGCAACAGAACCAAAAACCCGGCACACTACCAAGTGAAAAGGAACAGGGCACAACACTAAGGCAAAAACGCAGACATTCTCAGATCTGTACCACTTCAGTTGGGAAAGACGAAGCATTTACAATGGTCTGAGTACCTTGCAGCGTTACACAAGATTAAGTGGGACACACGCACACACACACTCCGCACTGCTTATATTGATTAAGTGCTTTCTTTTGACAGTAAATCGAGCTCACTGACCATTTTTGTCCACTTAAACATCCCTGGTGATAGAGATGTATGCACTGATTGGAAGATTAACTGTCTGTTTTGATGATGATGTTTTTAATGGTTATGAACTGCAAGAATTAGATCAGTTTGTGGATTTGTGTTCAAGTCCCCAAGGAAATCATTCCACACACGCATGCATGCAAATTTATTAATATTACTTTCACCCACTCTGTGGTGTTGGATACAAATGGCACTGATCCAGCAGCCTCGCCTACTTTGCCCTGCAAGGAAAGTCAGTTTCCGCACTTAGTTGCTTTTTACTTTGTTGTTACAGCCTAACAACATGATCTCCAAGTCACTTAAGTCCCAGCATATATTCTGACCTGTCGAACAAAATAGCCTTAAGTATGGGTAAACATAAGTGGTTTATAGATCTTGACCTGATAAAACTAGTTTTCAAATTACAGATATTTCAAAAAAAATGTGTTTGAATTCTCTGAAAGCACCTTCACACCGCTGAATTTTTGTTTCTCTTATTAAGGAAAGACTGAACGTTAGAAGAACAGCTTAACTTGAAGTCTCTCTAGCTTGAGAATTTGGGTTTGTTACTTTAAAAAAAAACACCACCCTAAATTATTGAAAATAAAATTCTAAGCACTGGATAGCACAGTTACAACTATTGCTGGGTTGTTAGAAGACAGCAGGATGTGTAGAGATGTTTACTCCTTTTTTTTAGCATGTTTAACTACATAGACATGTTGTACCAGTGTTATTCTACACTTTTTACATTTGCCACTCCTCAAGATGGAAGGTGATTTTTTTTTTTCCTTCTGTGTGGTTGATTGCGTCAAACTTGCGTAGTAATAGGTGTATTTAAGGTTCTGTGGGCTGAACTTCTCAGCTGCCTACTTTGGGATGAGTTTTTTTTCCAGAACTCATTTGTGTAGCCAGGTGATGGATAGAAGAGGTTTGCGTATTCTGTTTGTGTTAAAAGGGAAAATGGGGGCTCAGCTGCACCACGAAACAGGCACTGCATAACCTCCATTCATTCTGGTGGCCCCTGACATGGAAGTCCTACACAAGCTCCACTGGAGTGATTGGCTGGATTCTTGGCTGCTGCTCTAATGACCTAAACAATGTCTAGTATAGTTCCATAGACTTATCAGAGCATTCTGGACTGAATAGCTCTGTTTCCCCAAATGTGTGGTTTCGCATTTAATTTCGTTGAGCAGAGCAGCACCTCTAGCTTATTGCACTGTCCCATAGCTCCCATCTCTCCTCCTGCCTCGTTCTTTGATGTGATCCTCATCTTAATGCATTCATGTGCTCTACCTTTGTTTGTACTGTGCGATTGTAGTGTTCACGCATAGGAAGTGGAGAGTGGCTAACTCCACCCCCTTCATCCATCAGTCCAATAGCAAAAACACCTTAGAGACATTATTTTGCACTTTCTTGTGTATAAAAATCAGTAGAAACGTTTTTTTGTTTTTGGTTGTTGTTTTTTTTGGTATCATTTAAGACTCCTTTTTGTTTTGGTAAGTGAACTGTGTATAAAAAAATATTTATGCAGTTAAAACTGTTTTTAGAAAATATTTTTAATTTCAGCAAGTTTGGTTACTTGTTGCATGACTTAACACAACTGACTTTTTGTGTCAGTACAATGTATATTTTTTGTCCTGTTATTAATTTGTAAACTCTAGGTAAATGGCCATTTATTTGTACAGCAACCGGAGTAAATTGAAGATAACTGGCTACGACTGGAGGGGTGGAATTTTGTACTATATTGCGGACTCCAATTTCTGGGTTTTTTTGGTGGATATGTAAAAGGCCAGAAGAATTACTATCTAGTGTGCAATCTGTGATATTTGAATGTTTATTGTATATTTGTCTCCAATGCAAAAAGGTAGAGTAACACAATTACAATACATGATTAAATGCAATAGTTCAGGTACTTTTTGTTTTGTTTTCATTTCAAATAAATACTTGCTATTTACCACCAAATTATTCTGTGTATATCTCTTTTGGGAGAGAAAAATATATGTGCAAATGTACAGCTTTCAACAACTACGGTAAGTGTTTGTGCCAAAAAAAATTTATCCCTGGGCAATTCTCCAAGTTCTGCATTAGGGGGGAAAAGCTGACTTTCATGTCAATTTAAATTAAGCAGAATGGCACTCATGGTGTGAGCCAAGAAGATTAATTGAAATGCTGCTTCTATTCTGGCTAGGTACACTTTTTATTTTAAATAAAAATTGACATTTTAGGAAGCTTGTCTTTCATGTGGTAGCGTGAATCATGGCAGGCCTTTGGTCCTTGCTTTTTAATACAAGATTGATTTTATACTTTGGTGTGGTTCCGCTGCTACAAAAGGACACGTCAACTAAAGAAACAAGTTCTAGTGCTCTTGTTGGTGACATCTGGCAACAGACATGACATTCTTCCTCCTTTCTCTACCCCAAAAAAGTGTCTGATGTAGAGATTCTCTCCATAGTTGTGGTGCTTTTCAGAAGGGAAAATGAGGAAGAACCAGTGCTTCTGGGGGGACACAGGGGTACGCATAGCCCTAAACATTTTGTGAATCTAAGTTTGGCCTCATTGAGGGGCAGTATTTCAATATGAGTAGGAAAATGAGAGTACTCCTAAACATTTTTTTAAAGAACATAAATATCACAGCATGGTCACATATTCATACATACATTAGTCTTCAGGTGGAGGCTGTGAGAATTTAGTCAAAAGGTTAAGACTCAGAGAGTTGCAGATTACTAGAGAGACAGCTCTCTGTGACATCACTTCCTTTAGTTCTCTGGCGGGAAAATAGATTGCCATCTTTCATGGATGCTTTAGTTGAGATTCCTGCATTGTATGGGGTTGGACTAGATGGTCCTTGGTCCATTCCAACTCCATGAATCTATGAAAAGGACACAAGGGTTTAATCCTTTCTACTGCCTTCTGCCTTTGAACTCGGCTTTTCTTCTTCACCATACTAATAAATAATAATAATAATAATAATAATAATAATAATAATAATAATATATTATTTATGCCCCACCCATCTGGCTGGGTTTCCCCAGCCACTCTGGGCGGCTTCCAACAAAGTATTAGAATACAGTGGTCTGTTAAACATTAAAAGCTTCCCTAAACAGGGCTGCCTTCAGATGTCTTCTAAAAGCCTGGTCGTCGTCGTTCTCTTTGACATCTGGTGGGAGGGCGTTCCACAGGACGGGCGCCACTACCGAGAAGGCCCTCTGCCTGGTTCCCTGTAACTTGGCTTCTCGCAGAGAGGGAACCGCCAGAAGGCCCTTGGCATTGGACCTCAGTGTCCAGGCAGAACGGTGGGGGTGGAGACGCTCTTTCAGGTATACTGAACCGAGGCCATTTAGGGCTTTGAAGGTCAGCACCAACACTTTGAATTGTGTTTGGAAACGTACTAGATCTTTCAAGACTGATGTTATGTGGTCTCGGTGGCCACTCCCAGTCACCAGTCCAGCTGCCGCATTCTGGATTAGTTGTATGTGTTTTGTAATCTAGAGGTAAAAATGTCTGCCTTGTTTTTCATTGCTGCTAATGCTGACTCAAGTGCAAGACCTTATGTAAGTAAACTCTACTTTTAATGCTATGTCTACAGTCTCTTACGTGATTCTTTTAATGAAGAGGGGAAAGGGAATGATCCAGTCTGCCACCACAGCCTGGATCAATATATAAAGAGGACCTAGTCCCAAAAGTTTAATGTTGCATGGAATTGTTTTAAAACTCTGCTAATTGATTGTTTTTAAGTTTTTTAGTTCTGCTCACACGTGTAACAGGGAGGGTAAATTGTGAAAATAATATAGCTTATCCTGACCTCAAATCCATCCAACAGAGGCAACATTTCTGTTGTCCTGGGTGAAGAAGAATCTTGGCTCTGATAGCAGAGCACGTATACAGAGTCTACACTGATGCAGACTGACTTGAGTTGACAGACCCTGATGCCCAGGGAAATCGCAGCTCAGCAACACAGTCATCAGGAAAATTCTATGTCAGTTCAGGAAACTACACATAGACTTACTCGTGTCTGATGTCAACCACCAACTCAGGTGGTGTTATACCAGGTTTTCATAGCTTGTGGGTTGCACGGACTCGATTTGACATGGCCTCTGGGCTTGCTATATGCTTTTCCCCCCATTCTTTTGCTTCCTTGAGTGTTCAAGACAGTGTATCAGGAGAGGGCAACCATCATGTTTATGGCTCTTTTCTGGCCAAGGAGGCATGGGTTTTCCAAAATGGTTTCAGGATCTTCAGACTCGGGGCCCTCACTTTCATTCTGGTCCTGACTGGCCAGGGATATTGAACAGAGATGCCTGCTAAGTTGTACCAACACTCCAGGCATCACAGTAAACTTCCATGCAACAGATCTAGCAATTGGCTTGGGATGCTGCACTCTCAAGAATACATCTCTTCAAGACATGTGCCAGACAGGAACTTGGACCAATCCAAGTTTTTTGATGAAGCATTAAAAGCTGGACTTCCATGTATGCTTAGAGACTGCCTTTGGCTGGCCTGTCCTTCAGCAGGTGCTTCCAGATTATTAGTGTGCCAGTTCCCACCTTGGGAATAATAGTAATAGCTTCAGAACATCCCATTTGGTGGTTTCCTAGTGCCCACTCAAGATATCACTGGTACGCAGCACCAAACTGCCACAAAATAGTGTCGGTTAAGAATTAGGCATTTGGTCCACCCTCCTGGAGGTGTTGTCCTTTACCTACGACAAAACTAGATGAAGTGTTGTGGGCAAGCAGCAACAATGGCAACAACTTGCCAAGTATTCATTTTAAGCCCACCTATTCTATCTTCATACTGTTACAAAAGCCCGGCACCCGTCCCTCTTTCTTGCCAAGCCTTGGCAAGATCGTATGGGATCTCAGGCTCCCATACAGGGTCTGTGTCCCTTTGGATAATAGAAGTGGGGTGCCACAGGGTTCTGTCTTGGGCCCGGTCTTATTCAACATCTTTATCAACGACTTGGATGATGGACTCAAGGGCATCCTAATCAAATTTGCAGATGACACCAAACTGGGAGGGGTGGCTAACACCCCAGAGGACAGGATCACACTTCAAAACGACCTTGACAGATTAGAGAACTGGGCCAAAACAAACAAGATGAACTTTAACAGGGAGAAATGTAAAGTATTGCACTTGGGCAAAAAAAATGAGAGGCACAAATACAAGATGGGGGACACCTGGCTTGAGAGCAGTACATGTGAAAAGGATCTAGGAGTCTTGGTTGACCACAAACTTGACATGAGCCAACAGTGTGACGCGGCAGCTAAAAAAGCCAATGCAATTCTGGGCTGCATCAATAGGAGTATAGCATCTAGATCAAGGGAAGTAATAGTGCCACTGTATTCTGCTCTGGTCAGACCTTACCTGGAGTACTGTGTCCAGTTCTGGGCACCACAGTTCAAGAAGGACACTGACAAACTGGAACGTGTCCAGAGGAGGGCAACCAAAATGGTCAAAGGCCTGGAAACGATGCCTTATGAGGAACGGCTAAGGGAGCTGGGCATGTTTAGCCTGGAGAAGAGGAGGTTAAGGGGTGATATGATAGCCATGTTCAAATATATAAAAGGATGTCACATAGAGGAGGGAGAAAGGCTGTTTTCTGCTGCTCCAGAGAAGCGGACACGGAGCAATGGATCCAAACTACAAGAAACAAGATTCCACCTAAACATTAGGAAGAACTTCCTGAGAGTAAGAGCTGTTCGACAGTGGAATTTGCTGCCAAGGAGTGTGGTGGAGTCTCCTTCTTTGGAGGTCTTTAAGCAGAGGCTTGACAACCATATGTCAGGAGTGCTCTGATGGTGTTTCCTGCTTGGCAGGGGGTTGGACTCGATGGCCCTTGTGGTCTCTTCCAACTCTATGATTCTTCTATTCTATGAAGACACGGTGGAGGCTGTCATGCTTTAAGAAATCAGGTATGCTTGCCTATTTACACCTTCCAGTTGCATGGAGGGGGTCCAGTTCTTATAGCATGGTCCACAACAGTGCTGGCAGTCCTTCCTTCACCCTTGCCAAGATGGATCTCAGCCTTTCTTCTTCCCAGACGCCCCTTGTCCTACCCCAGCAGTTACCCTGGCAACCTTCCCAATCTCTAGTCTCTGGTCACACCTGGTACAAGGAGTTGTCGATGACCCTCAATGGCTCTCTGTTTACAGGCAGGTAGCCGTGTTGGTCTCCCATAGTCGAAACAAAATAAATTCCTTCCAGTAGCACCTTAGAGACTAGCTAAGTTAGTTATTGGTATGAGCTTTCGTGTGCATGCACACTTCTTCAGATACACTGGTTGATGGACTTCCATTTCATGCGGCTCAATGTGGGCTCTCTACTGTAATGCTAACAGCTCTGCTCTGCCCCCAGCCAGCCAGACTGGTTTGCGTAAGGCAGCCCAGGGATCCCCTTGCAGCTTATATTATCCTTTCACATCACAAAGAACCCAAAATCCTAGCATTTATTAATTTCTAGGGTTTGCCCCAAATATCTAACAATATTGACCATTTTAAAGCAAACCTTAGTATTTCCTTAACAGCACAGTAGCACAATGTCTCCCAGCTACCTTTATTTTACCATATTAAAGTATGTTAAGCTTCTGTACTCATCTAATGCTATTTTAAAATTTATGTATGGATGAATCTAGCTGCTTTTTCCTTTTTGAAACATCTATGTATTCCTGTCAAGTGCAATAAAAGCTAGTACAGTGGTACCTCGGGTTAAGAACTTAATTCGGTCCAGAGGTCTGTTCTTAACCTGAAACTGTTCTTAACCTGAAGCATCACCTTAGCTAATGGGGCCTCCCGCTGCCGCACAATTTCTGTTCTCATCCTGAAGCAAAGTTCTTAACCCGAGGTAATATTTCTGGGTTAGCGGAGTCTATAACCTGAAGCGTCTGTAACCTGAAGTGTAGGTAACCTGAGGTACTACTGTAATCTGTTTACTACTTAGAGCTTTTTTCTTTTTTGGGAATTAAA